AATTCTTATAGATACCATAAACTGAGTCAGAGAAATAAAGGCTTTAAAATTGTTGACGCTATGAAAGCTGAGAGTAATGATTCATTAAATATGACATTACTATTTGATATAAAAGATAATTTCAAAGGACACGCCTTTAAAGCAATCATGATAAAAAAAAATTAAACTCTTTCTATGTTATTTTCTTTTATGATTGTGCCTGCTAATTATTGATATGTTTGTCCTGCTTTGTAAATTTTCAAAGCTGTACATATAATATGCACACGGTTTCATCATCGTTTTGTTCTGTTCTTTTCCCGTAATTTTCCATTGGAAAATAGTACATTTGTTGTTCATTACATCTGTCGATGAATATAAAGCAATGAAATTAGAAGTACATGTCTGTAAATTACCAGCCTTGGCTGACAGAAGTCAGCAGGAACAGATAAATAGAATCAGAATGTCTATTGTCGAGGGTAACATAATTATCGAATAATTTGTCCATATTTCTCAATTTTCACAAGGCAAGAATCACATATTTATATCACTAATTAAGAAATATTGTTGCAACAAAACAAAACTGTCCCAGATGAAATCCTACAAATATATAGTTACATGGTTATGAACGCACACAGTTTGTCGGAAATTGTATGTCATATGACATAGGCATCAGAAGATCCATGAAAATATTACAACAATCTGATAATTATGGATACTATGATTCTATAGTCGTTATATAGGCCTACGGCGGATAATACCCTCATAATATAAAATTCATCAGTTTCAACTTCCACTTTGAATTTTAAGGGGGATATTCCCTAGAACATTCTGCAGTGATGTATGTGCATGCCCCAATTAAGATCGACATTTACACACGGAGGACGTTTCAAAAAATCAATTTTAATTAAATCTTATTAAAAAATGTGTTTTTTATTGTTTCGTGACCTTTTTTATTGACCTTTTTAAACTTTCCCGGGAATTCCAAATAAAAGTACGTCTTCATAAATATATTAAGTCATTGTGAAACTGGCACTCAGATGATGTAAAAAGCTACCTTCAAACTATGTATGTATGTACGTATGTATGTATTCTAGGCCTAATGATCTCGAGGGTCCATCTGCCCTTTCTGGCACTGAGAGTACGGATCCCGGACATCTCACCATTCATATCTTTAAATGTTATTATCAACCAAAAGTTCAAAAATTCACTGAATGATACTAAATATGTATGCAAGTCGATGTTTGTGATGATACTATTTTGATGCACGGGCGGCCAATGACACCATTATGTGCATAATGGAGAAAAATAGAAGTGATGAGCTTGACTGACTGATAAGATTATGCAACTCAGAGTGATACCTAGAACATGTTTTCAGTACGCACGACCGACATGCACGAGCATTCTTTCCAAGTTTTAATAGGCGAATTGGGAATGAAATTTTAGCCAAACAGCGGTTTATTTTTCAATTTTGTATAGTACTAATAATGAAAATACGAGTAACCCAAACTGGTGAAATTCATGCCCTCGAATTAAAGTGATTTCACAGTAAAATACATTATAGCACATAGAAATATTCAACAAATGATATAGAACAGATCATTTTATTTTGTTTTGCTTTTTCATTTAGGGTAGCTTAAGTCAAATGCTGTCTTGTATGGGCTGATGGGGTTGCGATGTAAAAGGACTGTATTTATTCGTTTAATGTCCTTTGCTTGTCCAATTCTTTTGTTGGCTCATATGGGACCTGTAGGGCTTTACATAAATTGGTCTTTATGCATACTTAAGGGCCTTAAAGTGTGCAACTTCATATTATCCGCTAGTAGCTTCTTCTTACAAAATTAAAACTAAACTTTAAATTACAACTAAAAAAACACAAAATGTGATTAATACCCCGGCAAGACTGCTTCGGAAATGAGGAAGTTACTAGAAACAGAATACCGTGTAAAAGAATTGGAATAGAGTTATGGTTGTGGGCAATTAAAGATAGTTGTGGTTCTTGTATGTTGCATTTCCTTTCACTGTGGTTGACCATTGATGAAGTTTTATTGAATTACTCCAGAAATAAGTCCAGAAAGAGTTGTGGTTATAGTACACTGCACGTCCTCTCATTGTGCTTGACTATTAAATGAAGTTGTATTGAATTCCAACTACTACTTTTTTAGACAAGGAAAGGTAATAAAGGGCCATCACTCTATAATTATTCTTGATAGAGTTATGATTCGTGTGCACTGCACTTCCTCTTATTGTGCTTGATCATTGTATGAAGTTGCATTGAATTCCAACCATAAGTTTTCAAGTTTTGCTCCGGACAAGAAAAAGTAACAAAGGGCAATAACTCTGTAATAAGTCAAGATGGAGTTATGGTTCTTGTGCACTGCACTTCCTCTCAATGTGCTTGACCATTGTATGAAGTTGTATTGAAATCTTAGTATTGTGGTTTTCAAGTTAAGCTCCGGACAAGAAAAAAGCAATGGAAAAATAACAAAGGGCAATAACTCTGTAATTACTTTAGATAGAGTTATTGTTCTTGTGCACTACACTTCCTTTTATTGTGCTTGACCATGGTATGAAGTTGTTTTTGAATGCTCCGGACAAGGAAAAAGTAACAAAGGGCAATAACTTTTTCGTGCATCGGGTGGACGAATAACGCAGTCGTTTATAAGGAATGCCACACTTTGAAAATTACGGGATCCGAAATGGTGTCCGATGCGGACAATGGATACATCGAAATCCAGTCTTAAACATACATGTATCAGCTGCCCCGTTTTTTTGTGTGTAAAGTATTGGTCACGCAAGGAAAGACTGTACCGGTATCTTCTTTGACCTGTAAGATTCGAGTATGTACTCATCTAATTCTATATTAACTTTCTCTCATATTCTTTGATAATAACGCAACGGATGTGTTATTTAAATTTATTGTTATACAAATAAGAAACCGAAACGTTGATAGTGAAGTGGTTCATGTCCCCTTAATACTCATCATCATATTCTGGAAATGTATATGTGCAATGAACAATCACTTCAGCCAAGACCTTATCTCTGATTATAACAGTCTTCAAAAATCTCTGTTTTAATGGGCGGAGAGACATTTTATGGACAACACACGGCACAATGACTGAAGTTTAAGACATTTTACCTGATTTTGTGAACAAATTCAGTTTGCTACACTGCCATAAAAACAACTGACAAATACAACATTTTCAATTTTAATTCGAATGAAATATGAAAGGGGTACATGAATTGTGACAATAAATACGAATTTAAACAAAAACATATAACAACAGACTATGGCAAACATTGTATTGACAAAAATTTGTTTTATTCCTGGCTTATATCTTGGAATGACAAAAATATGATTGCCCTATGTGACACTTACAGTCAAGTCAGTACATATGTAAGTTGCAATTTGACCTCTTAAGATAGGGCTGTAAAAACTGATTTTTTAACCATGCCAATTGGTCATACCATATAAGATGTTGTTGAAAGTCCATCATTATATTAAAAGTTGCTTCTTTTTAAAACTCTCTCAACGCTGCCAGGAAATAAACCATCTGCAGAAACCGTTAATATAACACACAAAATAAGCTTTTTAAATTCCAGTGAAGTAAAACAAGAGGACTCAAATAGTCCTACTCGCTCACCTGAGGATATGATAGAGGTGGTGGTAGTTTTCTACCCGGATCACGGCAGTAAGGTCAGTGCAAATGACTGTAGAAGGATTTCATGACCCCGAACTCGGATCGCCCGATTCACAGTCCAACACCTATTTGAGCTAACAATCATTCATATAAAGTTTCTTCAAAAACTGCAGTATTGTTGAAGAGGAGATGTAAGTTAAAGCTTATAAAGGACAACCTAATGCCCTTTGCTGTTGAATTTCATCTAAAATTTGTAGCATGGTTGAAGTCTATATGTCATTAAAAGCATCTTTCTATCTTTAGCTCATGCAACCATCTTGTTCAGCATAGACAATCAAGTTTTCAAGTTTTACTGATATATTCAATGTCAGCAATTTTAGTAACTGATCACCTAATGATTATTCCAGTAGAGTTTCACTAACATCTATCCAGGAGATAGGGACACTGTGATCACAATTTTTGCTCACTTGAGAAAATTGTTCTAAAGTGTGTTCTTGTATATGATGATATAATTCAGTCTGTCACCAGTACATGGATTTTGTTTACTGAAGTAGATATTTAAACATAGTGAATGAATGTCGAGTTAAAGAGAAAACATGAAAACATATTCTCAGATTAAGCATATAACATCACTGACTTCCATGCTGGACCCTTTACCTAAAATTGATTAAAACACAAAAATCTCAATGAAACACATAATTCCCATCTTTAAATTATTTTTTTTTAAATTCTAACCCCTAACCTGCTGTACACTATCCAGGTAAATGGACTCGTCAAGCTTCCATATTTTGTATGTGACTCGCACATTACATTATCAACTCTGGGGATATCAAGATGAAAGTTTAAAGTTAGTAAGTCAACAGTATAGAGCCTGGTCAGACTGCACAGATGTGCTGAGTTGCCTGGCTGTATACTGGTAACAACAGGCTAAACTCATTCTGTTTCAGCAGATTAAGGGTTAAGAATGGATCCTTTAATACAATAACTGATAACAAAAGTACAACAATAACTGGTGACAAAATACAAGAAATCTTTTTTAGTACAGATTGTTTATAATTTGTCTAAAGGTGTTTGTTTTTGACCATACAGAATTGAAATAGCTGCATACTTGTTTCAAAACATCCGTAATAATAAAAGTAAAACAAAATATTTAAATCATCTTATTTATGTTTAAATTCTATAAAAAAAAAAAAAAAAAAAAAAAAAAAATAAATTTAAACATTTTAACAATTTATTTTTCTGTGAGACCTTAAATGGAAAGTACTGTACTGTGTACACATCACTTTAAGCAATTTTCTGTTTCAAAATGACCGGCAAAAATTAATCACATCTAACATAAATCACAAAATAAGTAGTCACAAATAAAAAACAGGAAAAAGGTACATTGTAAATACTTTTATACATAAGAAAATGACAGTGAAAACAATTTGAAAAATATTTAATTATATCATACAACATCCACAAAAAATGTAAAACATTTGCACCATACAATTACAGGCAAGAACTTTTAACCTTGTATGTTCTTTACTTTCTAAATTGTGTAACAGTTTCAGTAACTGTAACAAGCAATCAAAGGAATAATACCAGCTGTTGATGCTATCATCATTTTACAACACTCCTGTAACATTTGTTTATACAATGTACTTTAAATGTTCACGCACTGTGCTTTCCTACAAGCATATTGTTGCTTTTCCTAAAAACACATATTGAAGACTTCAGCAACAATCATCACTATTGTTTTGAACCATTAAATCCTGCTTATTCACAAGTTAAGTCACTTATTTCCCTATCTTACTTATGGCAGCACGACCTTATCACTGTAACTTTGTACAAATCATTACATAGTAATGATAACCTCAGTCTGCTTCACAATCTATTTCATACATGTGAACATGGAAACACAATCATTTATAATAATGTATAGTTATAGCACACTATCCTGGTAAAATGACTCATAAAGTAGTGTCACAATTTTCTAATGGTGTCACAATTTCTAACAGTGTCACAATTTTCTAATGGTGTCACACTTTTCTAACAGCGTGACAATTTCTAATGGTGTCACAATTTTTTATGGTGTCACAATTTTTAATTGTGTCAGAATTTCTTATGGTGTCACAATTTTCTAATGGTGTCACAATTTCTTACAGTGTCACAATGTTTAAACATGTCACAATTTCTTACAGTGTCACAATTTCTAAGGGTGTTGCAATTTTATGTACTCTGTCAGCATCCTTTTAATGTCCCTCCTCTCCTTTTCTCTTGTTTAATGTCACACTATAAAGTGTCGCAATTTAACATTAGATTTACAATAATATCACACTTATAAATGTAAAATTCTAAGTGAAATACTATAAATAGTAAACTGGTGTGACATTTTTGGTACAGTTATGTCTACCAATCACATGAGTTATATCATGCTAATGTGACACATTGCCTTTGTCTCAATAGTGAATTAACTATTACAGCACTCTAAACTAAAGTCATTCATCATAATAATTACAGATTAAAACACGATATTGCACAATAAATATAGAAGTATATACAATATAATTTTATCCATAAGTAATAATTACAATAATGTGTGCAAATTTGTATAATGGACATTAGCAACATTTCATTGCTAATTTATGAAATTTCAAACTATAAGGCTAAAATTAAACAGCAACAGAATAGAGCGTTGTTAGACAGCAGGGATGATGGGTGTACAGAGTGACCTTGCTCTAGACAGACAAAGAACCTAAAGCTGCTTTTAATCAAACACTTCACAATTCTGATCTGTCATTACATGCACACATAAGTCAAAAACTTTTCAAATTATAAAATACATATATAAATATTTTTTCATGTAAATTGTTAATTCTGTAATGTTTTAGTTACGCTAATGTTTGCTAATTGTTAAGGAAACAAATATCAGATTAGTAATTGAACACATTGTGAATTACACTTTATAATTAGTCTTTATATTTAACAAATGCCTTTATTTTAAAATGCAAATAAAAATAAACATCTGCACTTTTTTTTTTTAATTTAATGTCATTTTTTCTATAATAGGAAATTAGAAACTATATATTTTTTCAATTTCTACTATTAAAAAAAAAAGAAGTTAAAAATGATGCTAATATTGTCTATTATATCAATAATATGAGTAGTAAGATGGTAGATGCATACAGTTGATAAAGGTAAATAGTTTCTTACCAAAAATCATCCACCAATCAGCTGTCTCTTTATTTGTCTACTATGTTGCCACTTTTGTAGGACAACTTTACCAAATGTTTGTGTTAAGGGAATTTAGTGGCAAGAAATGTTGATAGATACTTGACATGAATATACTTAACAATGTAATACAAAAATTGGTTCAAATTCAAATTGATGACAAAAAAAAATGAGTTTAGAGTGTACAAAGTGCTGTTAAAATATCACATGTTCATAAATAGTAAAGGTTTTAAAGTGGCAAGAAAAAAAGATGGTAATAATATTTAATTGAACACAAATAAGCAATGCCAAATTTATCAAATGGAATTAGTGCATATGAGTACTACATTATTATTTTGAAGACTTGATTATGTACTATTAAACTTAAGTAAAATAAAAAATCCAACGTTCTTAAATAACAAGAGCACAACATGCGGGGTTAATGTTTGTCTCTAAAAAAAATGATTAAAAAAGAGGCATAACTCAAAAAATACTGCTTTCAAAATTTCAGTTTTTGCACTATGACAAAGATGATGATGCAGCCATCATTTATATAAGCTTGACTTTTCTACAAAACAGATGAGCTAAAAAATACGTCTTACTGTAAAGAACAGACTTCTATTGTTATATATATATGTCATGCTTGTGGATAAAATAAAACTGAAAGATATTATCTTCATAATGGTGAATATCTTGATGAAAAAGTATTTTTCTAAATGCTCTGAATGCCCATACTGTATAAAACCAAAGGTGCAAAAAATATATATTTAAAAAAAAGCAAAACTGATCTAAAAATTTCTTCCAATTCAAAGAAAACTAATATTTACTGTGAAAGAAATCAGAATTTATGTTTTAAGGCAATATTAAACAAACAGCTATATTTATAATTACAATTAACTTTAACAGTGACAGTTCATAAATTATAATTCTTAAATGCAATTTTAAAGTAGCTCCACTGAGAACCAAAACCCTAAAAGCGTTAAATTTGGAATTCTTACATACATAAACTGGGACATTTAACAACAAAAACACGCAAACAATAAGAATGCTATGAACAAGGAATGGAACCGAAAATTAAATTTAGTGCATTATTAAGCCCAATTTGTGTTAAATTGCATTTTAACACTTTTTATTTTTAAACGCTTTTTGCATTAGAGTCATTTTGCCCAATAAAAATGATTATTTAGCAGTGAGTGAATGATCTGAAATTTTGCAAACAAAGTATTGGTCCAACCCTTTCTAAATGGTAAGCAAATCTTTAAAGAAATATTTCCAGTCCCCTTCATGTAAAGGCCCTATCACACTAGACTGGGCTTTAACAGTGTTTGCACGCGAGAACGCCACCCTAGTGTGAAAGGGGTTTAAGAAAACCACAATGGAGTCCCTTTAAGTCAAAATTCATCATTGTGACATAGATTCAATTTAATTTCCTTTGTGGCTTTTTTCGAACACCTGACAAAAAATTGCATGCCTTTTTTCAGCATACTCATAGATACAATAAAACATTAGCCGTGATAACATAGAATAAATAATTATAGGACAATGCAATGTAATGATAAAGATGTTAATCTGGAACTTGGCAAATGTGCGTTTCCCATCTAATCCTGGGGTGTAAACAAATTTTTATCATTATTTCCTTATGGTGTTCAGTTCACAATAGAGTGATCAACTTTTGTTTGATTGGGTTTTACGTCACACCGACACAGTATACGTCATATGGCGTTCCAGCTTTAACAGTGGAGGAAGACCTCAGGTGCCCTTCTGTGCGTTATGTCAGGCACAAACAGACACCTGACTAGAACCACTGACATTCTGTAAGCTAGCTGGATAGCATCCTCACATGAAAGAATCCAAAGTCCCTGTCGGGATTCCAAACCTCAGCGGTTAGGGGCAAGAGGTTTAAAGTCAATAACCTTAACCACTTGGCCACGGACGCCCCCCATAGAGTGATCGACATGTTGCGCTTATTACTGATATATTTACTAAGATTAGACTGTAAATGTTTGTTAGTACCCAAGGGTTACATTGGAAAAACCCACATTTGCTGAATTCCCGAATATCTCTATTGTTAAGACATAACAACCAGCCTGACAAACATATGTGACCTTGGAAGGTCCGCTTCATGTTGGAAAGGTGACTGTTTAAAACAGATAAACTACATATAGAGAGAACGGCAATGTTGGAATTTTAGTATCCTTTGGTTATACTTGCATTATCCATTTCCAGCTTGACACGTTTCCTGAAATATAAATATTATTCAGTTCTAGAGCATACTAATATCTCATATTGCAATACATTTGATCACATAAATATTAGATAAAGCCCCTTCACATCATAAATTCAGATAAAGTTATATTAATAATTGATGAGGTATTACCATAACCATACTTATAAAAGCCACTATGTTTTTGTGGGGATAGGGGGGATTTGCCATTGCCAGTCTGTCTGTACATCTGTCTGTCTGTTAAGAAATTGTGTCATGTTTAGCTCTGTAAGTGCTTGAGCGAGAGTCAATCTTGTGCATTTATTCAGTATTGCCCATGATTTAGTAAAAATTTGCAATTTTCAACTTGTAAAAAAAAAGTATTTGACCTAAAGTCATGACACATTACAGGAATGTTGGTCAGCATGTGTAGTTATACACCTGAGGTTTTGCTTGTTTGTTTATTAATAGTAATTGTCCTTGACTAGGTAAAATCCATTCCAAAATGTTGTGTCACCCCTAAAAGTGCTTGAGCTAGAGTCAACAAACTATTAAAGAATGTTGATCAGCACTTGGGGTTTCGCATGTGGTTTAATTCAGTTGCTGCTTTTTTTCTTCAGTTATTGCCCCTGACTTAGTTAAAATTTGCAATTTGCAACTTATATTGCACATAGCTCAAAATGTATTTGATCCAGATTCACAAAACAGGAATGTTGGTCAGCATGTGTAGTTATGCATCTGGGGTTGTTTTAATTTTTTTTAATCATACTTAAAGATATAAAATTGTGATCTGAAATTCTTGCAGCTCAATCTTGGGATAAATCATTATGAAGATGTAAACATTGAAAACATTGGATGTCATTTTAATGCCCGAAACACTTAGGGGTAGAATTTCCTTTGTCTGTCCATCTGTCATACTGTACCTCAGTAGACTGACAAAACAATGGATTGTGGAGGGCATCCTTGTCCTATGTACACATTTCTAGTTCTAGAATAATATCTACATGTTGTAAATCATTAAGCATACATAGATACTTAAAAATAAATAAAGTACACTACAATTCTATTACTATTTCAATTTTTTTTCATTTAAAATAAAATTGCAGATCTTCTTACATAATAAGAGTTGGCACATCCTTTCCATTTTACAAAAGCTGATGACCAATCATTAAACTGTTGTTTCCATACCTCAATAATATCTTCCTGTCCTGTAACAGAACAGAACATATCATTATTAACTCAAGTTACATAAGGAACACATAAAAACAGTGAAGAATTTTTGGAAATTAAAACATGACAATATAGATAAATACAGTAATAGTTTTATGTAAAATCAAGATAAACTTGTAAATGAAATCATAATAAATAACCTTTTTTGTTCATTTTAGTTAGTATCAAGTTCCATGGAAAATAAAAATTTCCATGACATTCCTGTGTTTCTGTTTTTTTTCCTTTTTCTCATAAAAATGATAAAACTTTTCTAGGGAATATCAATCTTTTTAGAGTGAGTTATAACCTTTTACAATACTGTGATTATCATTATACATGTATCTAGATATACCACTATATTTTTTATATTTATCTCTAATCTAAGCCTGCTTATTAATGTTATCTACTCAAATGGTTAAATTGTTTTTCAAAACATTTTTAGTGATATCTGTTCTGGTTTTGTGCTAATTTTAACACATTTTTGGCCACATTTCAGCCAGTAGTCAGCCTAACAAGTTTTAGATGACTAATCAGTAATAACCATTTTCATTGCAAGAGACCAATGAGCCGCGCCATAACAAAACTAACATTGTGTGTTTGCGGCCAGCATGGATCCAGACCAGTCTGTTCATCTGCGCAGTCTGATTAGGATCCATGCTGTTTGCTATCAGTTTCTCTACTTGAAATAGGGTTTGTAAGAAAACAGCATGGATCCTGATCAGTCTTCGCAGATGTGCAGGCTGGTCTGGATCCATGCTGGTTGCAAACGCACTATGTTGGTTTTGTTGTGACGCGGCTCAAATACTTATTTCACATGATTTCTGAATCAGTGTTGAGAGACAAATGAGCATTTGACTAAATATACCAGATCAATTATTGTGGTACAGATAGGAAATTGCTAACAGACAAACGATCTGAATTTATTAATTAAGGGGCCATTTCTTTTGCTATTTTCTTTTGCTTAAAGCCCCATTTTCTAAAAAAACAAAACAAAAAAAAACATTACACTTGCTCCAAAGGTTAATTTCATTTAGAGTTTAATAAAGTTTGTTTCCCAAAATTTTATTCTCAATAAAATATGATGAAAAACAGTACCTTTATATAAAAAACAATGATAAAGGCCTATATACAGAACAAATAAATACATGTATCTTACCTTCACTAACACTTATTTTGTATCCCTCTAATTTTAAGCCTGTCTGGCCCTGGCCCTGGTAGCACACGGAATAATGTTGCTTATCATCCACCACCTTACTTACATTTTTTATAATTAATTCATTGGATAAAGAAATGGCATATTTTTCTGGATACTCTTGCAGTATGTTTCTGCCGTCGCATTGAACATTTTGATACCATATTATACTTTGACTGTCAGTAAATATCTTTGCTTGAAAAGGTACTGTAACATACAAGCCTGCTGCCACAGTGTCTAATGATACTTCGTCTCCTTTAATATATATAAAATACAAATATATATATATAACTGTGGTAAATGTAGCTATAAACAGCTCACCACTATGGTAATAAAAGTGCTGCTGCTGTAGTGTAGTGGTTATCATAGTTACTGAACTGGCAATGCAGAGACTTTAAAAGTTCTGTTTGTTTGTTTGTTTCATTTTACGCCTTTTCCCAACAGTATTTCAGTCATATAGGTGGGTAGTTTCCTAACCATCAATCTTGGAGAGTTAAACCAGTACTAGACTACCTTCCTCCGTGCTAAACTACCAAAGCATCTCCCAGGGATCGAACCCACGCCGGGAGATGCTTTGGTAGCTTAGCACGGAGGAAGGTAGTCTAGTACTAAATGGTACAATCTTAAAACTGTTTCTTTCATTTTCAGTGATTTTAACTAATTTCTAAATGACTGAAATTTAAAATGAACTTGTTTTTGAACAACAGCATTTGAAAATAAATTTGTTTTTAGTGGAAATCATTTTGTTTTAACGATAAAACCATGTTTTTCTGGAGCTCTGTATATGATTTAAAATTAATAGTCTACAGAAGTACATTTTTAACATCAACAAAGAATTTTTTTTTAACTAGAGCAGAGAATTTTCTTAAACTTTGCATGATTAAAGAGAATCATAACTGAAACACATTAATGAAACAAAAGCTGTAAGTAGGACAGCACACGTCACTATTCATAGTGCTTGATAGTAAAAAAGCCTTGATAATGTAAAATTATCCATGTTCAAAAAAGGGCCATATTTTTTCCAAATCCATGTTACATTTACAGGCCTTGGAGAGAGTCCTATTATGCTTTCAAAGAAGTGTATAAAATTTCAACTTGTTTCAAAGCAAGATGTCAATGAAATATGAAATATCTGAGGTGGTACGGGCTTAATTCTGTCAAAATGCTCGATAGAGTTACCTTCTCTTCTCCTGTCTACAGGTTGGGGTCATGATGGTGAACAAGTGTGCAAAGTTTCAAAGCCATATTTCGATGGACTTTGAAAATATCTGAGGTGGTACACAAACTTTAATGTAAATTCCAAGTCGAAAAAGGGGCACTATTCTGTCAAAATGCTTGATAGAGTTACCTTCTCCTGTCTATATGTTGGGGGCATGATGGTGACCATGTGTGCAAAGTTTCAAAGCCATATGTCAATGGACTTTAAAAATATTTGAGCTATTACAGAAATTTTAACATAAGTGGTTACGCCGATGCCAATGCTTGGGTGACTAGGATAGCTCTACTTATTCTTATCGAATAGTCAAGCTTATAAAAATTGGGAGGTCACTTCGCTACATTTTGAGTTATATGCCCTTGAATGTAAGTTTTTACTCTTTTAGATTGGTTTTTATAGCTGTAAATAAAAATCAAGCATAAAAAAATCCGTTTTCAGTCATTATACATAGTTTTAAACAATTTTACTAATCAGATAATTTGGTAACTTGAATGAAAAAACATACTGCCTTATTCTTCAAAAAGGGAAAAAACAGGGTGAAATTTTGTATAAGCAACTATAGAACAATATCTGTGGCATAGCATTTCATCAAATGTTGCGCTATCAAGAAATAAATGCAAATTAACTCTAAAACAGTCACTATGCAACTCGGCCTGAGTTTTTTATTGATGATATTTTGCTTTCATTGTGCTAGGGTTACCTCCCCTTTTCAGTTTTATTTTTTAACAAAATCATGATTGATAGAAAAGTTCTCCCATCAATAGTCAAGGTAAGAAACCTTCATAAAAAAAACTATTAACTTACTTATTACTATTTCTTCATTAATGGAGTTTATGGCACCGTTCCTTTTTACATTATACCAGTCAAGAGTTTCACACGATGTTGTGTCACTAGGGTAAAAAATAATAATATATATTTCTTCATTGTTCACAACAAAACTAGTTTGAATAGCAAAATTATTCTAAATTCAATATGTGAATAGTGTTTGTTTAATGTGTTATGTCATATATTCAAAGGTAGGGTTAGAGTATTTTATTTTAGGAACTTAAGAGGATCTTAAAATATAATAACACATACTTAGAATAATATAACTAGAAGGGTTTTTGTCACAAAAACATGTATCCCAAAACTGTGTATGGTCACTCATGTGAAGTTTTATTGAAATCCCACCAGTAGCTTGACTTGTGATAGCCGGACAAATTTTTTCTATTTATAGCTCTGACGGCCATTTTTTGCTGCCTAGCAAAACGTGCCTGTATTGTGCACAACTAGCGATGGTACTGATCCCTCCTGTAAAGTTTGGTTGAAATCCCACCTGTAGTTTGACCTGTGAAGACCGGACAAAATTTTTCTATTTTTAGCTCTGGCAGCCATTTTGTTCAGCGAAGCAGAACGTGCCGGTGATTTGCACAACTAGGGAAGGTACTGCACTCCTGTAAAGTTTGGTTAAAATCCCACCAGTAGTTTGACCTGTGAAACCCGGACAAGATTTTCATATTTTTAGCTCTGGCAGTCATTCTGTGCAGCAAAGCAGAACTTGCTGGTGATGTGCACAACTAGCAATGGTACTGATCACTCCTGTAAAGTTTGGTTGAAATCCCCAGACCTGTGAAGGCTAGACAAGATTTTTCTATTTTTAGCTCTGGCAGCCAATTTGTGCAGCGAAGCAGAACATGCCGGTGATTTGCACAACTAGGGATGGTACTGATCACTCCTGTAAAGTTTGGTTGAAATTCGACCAGTTGTTTGACCTGACAAGCTTATTGCGGACGGACGGACCACAAAAGGACGGACAGACTGCAAAGGCAAAAACAATGTCTCCCAAAAATTTGGGGAAACAGAATTACGACATTTAGTTGTAGACATGATTTCAGTTTAGTAATTATGCTTTTTTTTCTGTAATGTTGATATTTACAAAGCCATATGACCACTTTCAAGTTTTCAAGTGGAAATTGAACCAATAAAAGCATTCAGGTGCAAGTTATTCAACATAAAAACTTTGCTTATCTAGGGCTATTATAGTCACTTTCATTACGGAGCATTCAGGAAAAATATATCATACAATAGGTAACATTATAAAGCCTTGTCAGGGGGAACTAATTTTGTAGAAATAGGATACATGAAAAGTAAACTTACTTTGCTTTCATACAGTATTGACAACTATCACCTTTGGCCCATTTACATCTTGTATTTGTTATGCACACATTTATATCCCTTATCTTTGAACAAATATTGTCTATGTTAAAATATGTAACATTAAAGTCTGTTCCCAACACTAATGAATTATTCTGAAACATAAAATACAACATATTTATTTTAATATATGTCAGCATTATAGTTGTGACTTGCATTTTATTTTATAATTATCAACTTACTGTCATATCCAACTCGACTTACACTTAAAAAGATACCTTAAGAAATAAAGAATTTACAGTAAAAAAATGTTTAATGAAAATTCTAATGAAAGATGACTATTGAAATATTGTTTCTAGAGTTATAAAATTTGTCAGATAAGTAACACAAATTTAAAGTTCACAGAAGATACCTTGAAAAGTACAGAAGTTATCGTAAAATATCTTTTTATTTTTACTGCACAAAAACTTTAATTAGAAATCTGGATAATTAACTCTCAATATACTTCTATACTTATATATATTTATATACTTATGTATAGTCAATTGTTTAAAAATGGAAGAAATAAACAATATCAATACTAACAACAAATTTCATATTCCATATAGCATAATTCCTGTTTTCCTTGTCAGTAAAAGGACGATATATGGTTGATGGATGCTCCAAGTGGAACGATGGTGAACCTGTCTCGAATGTTTTCATTAGTATATCATGTATTTCTCCCTCATCTGAAAGTATAATAGAATTTAAACATATTTTCAAGTTAAATTACGCTTATTTCAGTGTACTGCAAATAGTAAAATAAAACTTTGCATTTTGCCAAAATTGTTTTCAATTTTGTATTTTCCTTTGCAAATAAATCAATAACGTCATGTGACCCATGGAAATTTAACACTTGTTTTCCCATAATAGATAAACATTAATTAAATACTAAGAAAATTAATAAAAGTGGAACAAACAATCAACTCAGGATAAGTTTTAAGGTTTAATTTAATGATGATAACTGACATTTTGACTCACACAAGTCTTCATCAGGGTTAGATAATTTGAATGAATTGAATAATTATTTTAATTACAAGTAATACAATTATTTGTGAAATCAGACAAATGGTTTTGTATGAAAACCATATTGTGTTATCAAAATTAAAATCGTCAATTTTCGGTCCGTGTTCACTACTCAAAAACAGCTGTAAATTAAATGCATGTCAAGTTTATTATTACACAAACTCAACAAGCTAAACTTAAATGACATAATGTAAATATGATCATTATACAATATAGGAACATACCTGATGCTATGTAGATGTTTCTGCCTGTTTCACCTTCTCCTGTCTTTGTTTCACTGACAGCAATTTTGATAAACTGTTTACCGGTCTTAAAATAGATTGGTCTACCATAGACTGGTTTCACATCGGTATCCATCAGTTGGTACATAGAGACTTTGTTGTTAAATATGTCACGATTAGTTTTGTGGGCAGTGCACTGTAATATATAACAAAGGAGCACATAAATCTACCTTTTTAATCTAATATAAGTAAGGGCTTATTAATAAAAATTTGCTGAATTAGACATAATAATATGTTGAAGGTGAAAAATCAAATAATACAGCTCATACAATATACTCCAATATCATAGTCCAATGATCCTCAGCAATGCTACTCACAAATGTAACTACATGTATTTAAAGGGGAAAAATATATTATTAGTTATAATAATTTCAAAGGAAAATATCTGATTGAACACAGTATAGATACTGTGACTTCAATATTAAATTGGCTCAACTCATATAAATAATTGAGCATCAAAGGCCTATTACTAGTATGCCCTAGAAATGCTTTTAATCTTATTCTCAAAATTTTTTTATCTTTAGTGTCCTGTTATAGTTTCTGGAATTTTACTGACACTGGCCAAGTACCTGAAACATTATTTGGTTCTATTGCTTTGGTCCATTAGTATAGTTATAGTGATTTGGTATTTTGTATGAAAATCAAAAGACTACTTTGTTTACATTTCCCTTCTTTTATGACAAATACAAAGATTTGGGAAAATCCATTACATAAATTCAACAAATTAAGAATGGATTAAAAAAAAATTAAAAACAAATCATACCATCATGCTGGATATAGTGTATATATATATTTATGTATTAGATGTCTGACAATTATACATGGTGTATTGGTAATTCAAGCATAGTAAAATAATGTTCAATTAAAATGAGCTTGTTGACAAAATAAAAAAATAATAAAAAAATAGAGGCAAACAGCATAATCATATATTCAGACTTGGTCACTTAAATCAGTTCACTTTAAATTTTATTAAATATGCCAAGCAAGAAAATAAAACAAAACATGTTTTGGCTCACCCTCGTGTTTCTGACAAATGCCTGAACAAAATTATAGCAAAATCTGTTGTTAATGTTAGCAACCATTACACAATGTGTGTATTTGGTTTTATAACGCTCCATCACAATTTAGATTATACATGTATGGTACTAAAACAGGAAGGATGATTTTGACTATCCTCAGGTGTTACAAACTTCAAAGCAACATCAGGGGTCAAAATCACCTCACCCCCTGGAACTAAGAAATACATAGATTCCAGTTATTTGAACCCATTTAGTCACTCTTACAAATACACAGGGATAAACTGTGACTGCAATTCTTATGCCTAAACCATAAAAGGCACCTCCATCCAATAAATAAGAAACTGCCAATGGGTACAGTTACATGAATTGTACCAAAACACAAAAAATATTTGAATGTCTTCAATCATTATAAATATAAGTACATTTGTATGTGTTAAAAAGAAAGTCAGACCAGCAACTTTATATGAAAATTTTCAAAAGCATTAAAATACTTAACACCTTTAGATACCATTTACACACCTTATAATCAAAAATAGTTATAGCTAAATGAAAAGAAATGTACAGATAAGTTAAAATGCACAATATCTTTTTCTCTCAAATTAGCAAAAAGTTAAAATTATCAAAGAAATGGAGCAATATGCTTAAACATCAGTCTTTTCCTTCATACAGTTAAAGGCCATGTTTTCCAATTGCTAATTTCTTTTATCTAATGCTCATAATTTGGAGTAACAATATCATTCTTTCCCCCCTTTCTAATTTCCCCCTTCATAAAAAGGTAGGAAAATCCTGGATTTTTCCAATAGCTGTTTGGGAGTAGTTAAAATTTTTAAAAGTTACTATATCCCTGGTTTTTATAAAAAATGCTCAAAAATTTTTTGTCATCTTTTTTTTTAAACTTTATCAAAAAAGCATTTGGAGTATTGTTTTTAAAAAACCATTCAGGAAAAGAAACGTTGAACAAAATATTCCCCTACAATATAATACCGATAAAAATCTAGAGGGTCCTAAAAAATAAAGTGAAGTCTACACCTTACAAGTAGACTAACTTCAAAAGATTTTATCAGAAAATTTAAACTTTGAAGAACCAGTCAAAGAAACTACAAACACTAGTATATCATGAATTTAGGTATTTTATATTAATTTAATTCACAGAGAAAATCTCTTTTTAATCAGATTTCAAATGGATTGCGGACAAGGATTATTACTTTCTACCCATATATTCCAACAGAAAGAATGCTTGTATGATGTTCTCCTGCAGCCTGCTATAGTGAGGCTTTTAACCAATGTGGGAAAAACAAAGAACAAACCAGTGATTTTTTACATTAACTAACAAAAACTATAAAAGGCCTCTTCCCAATTGAAATTTTCTTTAAAATCATGCATTTTTCCCAAACTTCTGAACAAATACCCGCCTTTTTACTTAAATTAGCCATTTTACAAATAATTTTTCCAAAAATCATAAGGCTAGGCTTCTTCCCAATTAATGGAGAAAAACAACTGGGGATGGACGATAAATTAAAAGGTTGCCAGCTGTAACTTTATCTTATTTTTTACACAAAGAAACAAAAACATATTTTTGACATGAAGTGACTGTATGATTTATATAACTGTATAGGAACAAAGGTGATGGTACAATTTCCCTTTATTTCGCCAGGAATTGAATTTCTGAGGGAAAAGTCTTTTTAGTTTCTAATATAAAAAATATGACCCCCCGGATTGTCAAAATTTTTTCCCCGGGGCATATTTTTATATCTTTTGTAAAAATCATTGAAAATTTCTAAAATGCCCCTTTCAAAAAAATTTTGGCCTTGTAAAAAGTTTTTAAATAAAATGAACTTAAAAAAATTATTTTTTCCTGTATAGGCCCATGTAAAATAATTTGTATTGGCCCCCCATGCATGATTTATAAACTTTTGTAGAGGACCACAACTAACATATCAAATATTATAGCCCTGAGCATTGTAGTTTCTGAGAATTTTTTTTATTTTTTTTATGTCTATTTTTTGCTCCTGTGACCTTGTTCAGCATCTGACAGAGTCATGTACACAACCTTTGTATAGGACCACATAAGGATCATTCCTGTAAAGTTTGGTCAAAATACTGGTTTAAGACGAGATGTTATTTAATAAAATTATGGATAATAGCAAATGACAGACACACTGCCATCACAAGAGCCCACCTTTAAGCACTGTGCTCAGGTGAGCTTAAAAGAAGGAAAAATAGGGCTATTTCAGTAAGAAGGGCAAAGCAGGGCTTAGATGATAATGAAGGAAATGTCAGTACTAGTAGAAATCCTGACATTTATCCTTCAGAAGCTATCCTGTGCATTAACAACTTTACATGACCTCAGGTGTCCCTTCATACATAACTTTAGAAACAAGCAGGCATCCAAGTAGAAAAGACCTTTCGTAAGGTAGCTGGATAGCTTACTCCTATGAAAGAATCTAAATTCTGTGATGGGATTTGAAGCTTTGGCGGTGAATGAAAAGTGATTTAAAGTCGGCAACCCTAACTATTTACCCATGGGGGGGCTGTGCCTGTTTTTAGATGGAAAATTAATCTACCTTTTAATATATGCTAGGACACTAGAAAAGTTGATATTAAAGAATGCCTGATAATTTCTGGAGGTGACTTAATTGTATGAAATCATACATAATTTCTAGTTTAAAGCAACACTTACAATTCAAAATTTCAAACTATCCAACAGTTCTGCAACACACGACTTTAGTTGTGTGTCACTTAAATAAGCCTAAATCAAACCATACAACTTCTGTATACTAGCATGACAACATGTGGAGGGGGGCCCAGGGGCCATGCAAAATATCAATAGGGCGTTCATTTTTGAGCCCATATTTTGTTTATGTATAACTACCGTTGTAATCCTTTGTTGTAAAGAGCAAAACAAGAGGGCCATGATGGCCCTGAGGTCGCTCACCTGTATATAGCCCCCCACCCCCCCTAAATGTTGCAGGGCCAATTTAACCCAAGGGCTTTTATTTGCACAAACTTGGTAGACACCTATAAGAAGATGTTTCATGCTAAACATCTAAGCTCTAGCTCATTGGGCTTTTTAAAAGAAGATTTTTTTTAAGTTTTTACTATACACATATAGTTAAAAACAATGACACCCCTGGGACCGGGCCAGTTTTGACCCCAGGGCTTTTATTTGAACAAACTTTGTAGACACTTACTAGAAGATGTTTCATGCTTAATATCTAAACTCTAGCTATTTGAGTTTTTTCAAAGAAGATTTTAAGTTTTTGCTATACACATATAAAGAAAATCAATGACCCCAGGGCGGGGCCAATTTTGACCCCAGGTCTTTTATTTAAATAAACTTTGTAGACACTCACTAAAAGATGTTTCATGCTTAATATCTTAACTCTAGCTATTTGGGTTTTTTCAAAGAAGATTATTTAAGTTTTTGCTATACACATATAAGGAAAATCAATGACCCCCGGGGCGGTGCCAATTTTGACCCCAGGGCTTTGATTTGAACAAACTTGGTAGACACCTATTAGAACTAGTTTGATGCTAAATATCTTAGCCATAGCTCTTTGAGTTCATTTAAAGAAGATTTTTTAAGTTTTTACTATATGCATATAGGGAAAATCAATGACCCCCCGGGGCGGGGCCAATTTTGACCCCAGGGCTTTTATTTGAACAAACTTGGTAGACACTTATTAGAACATGTTTCATGCTAAATATCTTAGCTCTAACTCTTTTGGTTCTTTAAAAAGAAGATTTTTAAGTTTTTACTATATGCATATAGGGAAAAATCAATGACCCCCCGGTGGCGGGCCAATTTTGACCCCAGGGCTTTTATTTGAACAAACTTGGTAGACACCCATTAGAACATGTTTCATGCTAAATATCTTAGCTCTAGCTCTTTGGGTTCTTTAAAAGAAGATTTTTTAAGTTTTTACTATATGCATATAGGGAAAATCAATGACCCCCCGGGGCGGGGCCAATTTTGACCCCAGGGCTTTTTTTGAACAAACTTGGTAGACACTCACTAGAAGATGTTTCATGCCAAATATCTAAGCTCTAGCTCTTATGGTTTTTTAAAAGAAGATATTTAAAGTTTTTTCTTTCGGTTGCCATGGCAACCAGAGTTCTGCATGGGAAAAAAATTCTTTGAACAATTTTTAAGGGGACCACCAAAGGAAAATTTCCCTTTAATTTGATGAAATTTTGGGTTATGGTTTAAGAGGGAGATGTATTTTAAAAAAAAAATTTAGGACGACGGACGCCCCGGGCAAAGGACGGAGCCGGGCGAAAAACGATCAAAAAGCTCACCCTGTCCTTTGTGACAGGGGGAGCTAAAAAAAACACAGAAAAAAATTGGTAGTTAAGAAATAAATTCAATATACAAATTTAACACTTTTCATTGTCTAGTCTAGGATTTGGGTATTGGATAGGTACTGTATCCAAACACACTTGCGTTCTGTACTTGAAATTTTTTAAAGGCGGGCTCTTAAACTCTCGGTAAACCATATTGCAAAGCAAATTTCCTATCTACTCCCTGTTAATGAAACAAAACTGTATTGTACTACACAAACACAAAGGTTATTGACAATCATTTAAAATCTCATCCAATAAAATGCAATAGAATCAAGTGTTTTCTGCTCTTAACTCAAACATGTGGAAGATATGATAAGACCAGTTGATGGAGAATCAAACGGTTTTCTTTTTTCAATTTTGATGAGTAATCGATTTGGTTGAATAGTATAACAGTAAAGTGTATTTTCAGCCAAGGAAAGTGTTTTAGTAAGTTTTGGTAATTTGCGGAAATGGTAACTGTCCTGTTTTTCAGGCAAAGGAATACTTACTTAAAGTGCCCATCTCAGATTTTTTTTCAGGCCCTAAGAATAAACATTTTGGTTCTATAATAAAGTCGGACAGCTTCCTAACTTAACAGTTTTTCTTCAAATGCTCTGCAGGATGCAGGATTCCAACTCATAGTGTTAACAGACATATGATTGGACATCAGCAAGTTAGTATAACCACCAACCTTCTGTTAGCCAGCTGGATGGCTTAAATACAAATTTTTGTAAATACGTGTGCCAAGGTGACCATAATTGCAGTATAAAATGTACATATAAACAGCAATAACTTACTTTTGTTTATAGAATAAAGCATAAAAATAGTCCCCAGTCTGATAAACATCATCTGTAATGATAAAAAATAGGAAATATAAATAGTACATGTAATATAGTAAGTAACATCTTATAGTGCTTATTGTGTCACAAATAGCTAGCCTATAACAACAGCATATAGAAAAGCCATCAGTGAAAAGTTTATGTATTTTCTTTATCTTAACACATACACCGAGTTCACATCCAACATTTAAAAAACTTGAAACTACCATAGTGGAATGTGTGTTTCGTTCTGAAAACCACCATGAGGCAATGTGTGTTTTCTTTCTGGGGACCACCATGGTTGAATGTTTGTTTCATTATGGAAATCACTGAGTTGGAATGTGTTTCTTTCTCTGATAACTTCCATATTAGAATGCATGATTCCTTCTGGAAACTTCATGGTAAAATGTGTTTCTTTCTGGATACTACCATGGTGAAATGTTTGATTCCTTTAAATTCCTTTATGGAAACTACCATGGTGAAATGTTTGTTTTATAATAGGAACTACGATGGTGAAATCTTTGTTTTATAATAGAAACTACCATGGTGAAATGTTTGTTTTATAATAGAAACTACCATGATGAAATGTTTGTTTTATAATAGAAACAACCATGGTGAAATGTTTGTTTTATAATAGAAACTACCATGGTGAAATGTTTGTTTTATAATAGAAACTACCATGGTGAAATGTTTCATTTATGATAGAAACTACCATGGTGAAATGTTTGTTTTATAAAAGAAACTACGATGGTGAAATGTTTGATTTATAATAGAAACTACCATGGTGAAATGTTTGTTTTATAATAGAAACTACCATGATGAAATGTTTGTTTTATAATAGAAACAACCATGGTGAAATGTTTGTTTTATAATAGAAACAACCATGGTGAAATGTTTGATTTATAATAGAAACTACCATGGTGAAATGTTTGATTTATAATAGAAACTACCATGGTGAAATGTTTGTTTTATAATAGAAACTACCATGGTGAAAAGTTTGTTTTATAATAGAAACTACCATGGTTAAATGTTTGTTTTATAATAGAAACTGCCATGGTGAAATGCTTGATATTTATAATAGAAACTACAATGCTGAAATGTATGTTTTTATAATAGAAACAACCATGGTGAAAAGTTTGTTTTATAATAGAAACAACCATGGTGAAATGTTTGATTTATAATAGAAACTACCATGGTGAAATGCTGATTTATAATAGAAACTACCAAGGTGAAATGTTTGTTTTATAATAGAAACTACCATGGTGAAATGTTTGTTTTATAATAGAAACTACCATGGTGGATTAGTGAAATGTGTGTTTCTTTCTGAAAACTGACAAGGAGGGATGTGTATTTCTTTCTGGAACCCAATGGTGTGGAATATGACCTGGAGTGCCCCTTTGTACATTGTTTTACACATTATAAGTCTGAAGTTAGTAAAGATTATTGGCAATGACATGTTAATCCTAAATATTTCCAAAAAAGCAAACAACAATTCACAGAAACAGGATGTTCAGACTTACATATATCATCAAAATAATGTGGAGAGGTTCCTGGTAGGGAACAAATCAGCCTGGCTTTCTGGAAGGATAACCACTTTGTCTTTGTTGCCATTTCATTAAACCCTCCACCAAGGTCTTGCTGTAAATAATATAATGAGTTGCTCTAAAACAGGTTAAAATGATTGCATAATAAGAAAATTGCCCCTAAATTCTTCAAAACTATCATATAACCAGATAATTGACCATGAAACACATAAACATTATTACACGAGATAACTTCCTTTTAAAATGTGATCACACAGAGATGGTAAGAATTTGACAATAGTAGGTGGGAGTTAACAAATTACTTGTGAAGTAGTGCATTAACAACAAGCAATTATCATAGTATTGCAAGCAATCCATAAGTCCCCTACCGGTAAGAGCCCAAGCAACATTCTGAAGGGCCATTCACTTATGTTCCTATTTTAAGTTAATTTGTTGAAAAAGTTCTTTAAAAGTGATCACAGGAAACAGTTTTTATGTACAGACAGACGGACTGAAGGACACTCTAAAGTTATTTTTTAAACATCCCTGTTATCAAAATATATCATTTTTAAAATCCTATCATGATTGAAGAAGTTGGAGTAAAAATTACCAATTTTCTCAAAAAAAAGTCTAAGTTCAAAAAGGGGCATAATTCTGGAAATAGTCTTGCTAGAGTATTGAACACTCACAAATGTTGAGTGGCAATAAGAAACATTTATATGAAGTTTGAAGTAGATACATTTAGAAAAAGAAGTTATTAAAAAAAAACAATGTTTTTTTTCATGAAAATTTTAAGTTCAAGGGAGGTAATTCTGATAAATTTTGTACTAGAGTTGTAAACCTTGCCACATATGATATGGTTGATGACAAGCAACTTATATTTAAAGTTTGAAGAAAATACCTTAAGAAATAAAGAACTTATAGTGAAAAAACTTAAAAACTAGAATAAGAAATCTTGAAATTCAGTCTATTTGTTGCCATAGCAACCAGAATTTTCAACATAGGAAGATAAGAAAAGGATGTGCATAATTTCCATACTGCCATCTACCCATATGTCAAGTTTCATAAACATATTTTCAGTACTTTTTGTGTCATCACTGGATCCAGGTTATGTGTAAAATTTGCCATATTTTCAGTCTATTTGTTGCCATAGCAACCAGAATTTTCAACATAGGAAGAAAAGAAAAAGACGTGCATAATCTCCATACTGCCATCTATCCATATATCAAGTTTCATAAAAATATTTTCAGTACTTTTTGCGTTATCGCGGGATCCAGTTTATGTGTAAAATTTGTCATATTTTCAGTCTATTTGTTGCCATAGCAACCAGAATTTTCAACATAGGAAGAAAAGAAAAAGACGTGCATAACCTCCATACTGCCATCTATCCATATATCAAGTTTCATTAAAATATTTTCAGTACTTTTTGCGTTATCGCGGGATCCAGTTTTGTGGACGGACGGACTGACTGACGGACAGACGGACGGACTGACGGACGGACGGACAGACGGACGGAGGGTAAACCTAAAGTCCCCTCCGGTAAACCGGTAGGGGACTAATTACAGGAAGAATACCCTTCTCCTGTACTAGCTTAAAGCTGCATGCCTACAGCTACAGATAAGCCAAAATATTTCAAGAAAATAAAACAAGAGAAAAAAATACTAACATTTTAGAAAGAGTAAAAAGATTTAAGATAAATAAATGATTTCAATGCTATGTGCCATTGTTGCCCGATTTTCACACTATTTTTCACCATATTTCTACTGCTATACTAAAGCAATAAGGGCCATTTCTGCAAGTTTTACCTCTTTTTGGTAATTTACATTGGTTGTAACTTAAGTGCTATTTGGAATGTAAAAATCATTTTCTTTGTTCACTTCACAATATTTTTACTTTTTTAATATATTTTCAAAACTTTCATAAATTTTCATGAATTTGAGGTGTGCTGCTTTAATGGCAAATACATACCTTGCAAACTTTTCCCACTCTAGAGTAGATTTTATTTCTGTTTATCTTGTTCTCTACTGAAGTCTCTCGGAAGAAAAATATTACTTTCTCCTCGTCATCAAACGATCCAACAAATTGTGGTGCTGAAATTAAACATTATTCAAACTGTGGTGCTGAAATTAAACATTATTCAAATTGTGGTGCTGAAATTAAACATTATACAAACTGTGGTGCTGAAATTAAACATTATACAATTAGAGCTCAATAAAGATAATATTCTACCAGGTAAATTACATACCATTCAAAAAGTTTAACGGAACTAAAAAAACTAAATTCATTCATGATATATTTGTGAAAGCCAGACCTAAGTTGCCTTTTCTAAATCTTACATGCAAATATGAAACTAAAAATTGAATACATAATATATATTTACTAAAACTACACAAGGCAAATTACAGAAATTTATTTTTTTATATGTTGTTGAATTAGTGAAAAGCCAAAATATGCAAAATTATTATATAACAAGATTGCATTTGAGAAAAATGCTATGCCACCGCATTAATCCTTGTACCTTTAGACAATAAGATTTTTTGATTTTTTTACTATATGTTTATATTGAAAATCAATGACCCCCTGGGCAAAGGCAATTTTGACCCCATTGTTATAATTTAAACAATCTTGCTAGAAGTTCATTTCATAATGTTTCATGCAAAATATCTAACCTCTAGCATTTGTCAATTACTAGAAGAAATTTTTTTAAAGTTTTTACTACAAGTCATGTTTAAGTTTTTTTTCCTATATACATATAAGGAAAACCAATGACCCCCGGGGCGGGGCCGATTCTGATCCCAGGGCTATAATTTGAATAATCTTGGTAGAGGTCTACCAGACAATGCCTTATGCAAAATATCTAAGCTCTAGGCCTTTTGGGTCTTTACAAGAAGGTATTTTAAGTTTTTTACTATATGTACATATAGTGAAAATCAATGACCCCCCGGGCGGGGCCGATTTTGACCCCAGGGCTATAATTTGAACAATCATGGTAATGGTCTACCAGACAATGCCTTATGCAAAATATCTAAGCTCTAGGCCTTTTGGGTCTTTACAAGAAGGTATTTTAAGGTTTTGCTATATGTACATATAGTGAAAATCAATGACTCCCGGGGCGGGGCCGATTTTGACCCCAGGGCTATAATTTGAACAATCTTGGTAGAGGTCTACCAGACAATGCCTTATGCAAAATATCTAAGCTCTAGGCCTTTTGGTTCTTTACAAGAAGATTTTTTAAATTTATTCTTATAATTCCTTTTGGTTGCCATGGCAACCAGATTTCTGCATGGAATGAAATTCTTTCAACAACTTTTGAAGCCCTTCACCCAAGGATCAATCCTGCCAAGTTTGGTTGAAATTGGACTAGTGGTTTTTCACAAGAAGATTTTTTAAGTTCACTATATAATCTATATAACACACACACACACAAACAAACACACACACAGGTGAATCGCTATATGCCACCGCATCGCAGATGCTGCGGTGGCATAAAAATAAAATGCATACCATTCTAATTTAGCGAATTTAAAATTTTTGCTTCAACATACCCTAGCATGAAAAAACAAAAATTTTTGAAATTTGAAAGATTTAAGTCAGAGTAATGTAAATGAATAGACCAAAAATTGGGTTAAATGTCACCTTCGCATCAGTGAAAAAATTATCTTTTTTGTTAAAGACATAAAAATCTAAATCTGCCTCCAATATAAGTCACAAAAACCCAAGTTCCTAAACCATATCAGTGAAAAAAATTGATTGTGTTTTTTCATTGCAAAGGTAAATCCTTTAAAATAATTGTCTTCAACATCAAAGCTACATAACTGTAATCAAACAAGACTTATCTGAACCAAAATTTCATGAAATGAGATATTTTCCAAATTTTCTTTTTACCAGTTAATTCATATCCTACTTTAACTTGCTTTATTGCTCAAACGTTTCACTTATATTGTCCAAATGTGCAAATGTGAAGATTTCTTTGGCTAAAATCCTGGTTTGAAGCAATGTTAAAAAGCATGATTGAAACATCTTTAATTCCAATATCACAAAACAAGTGTCTGCTGAATGTCTATCTGATATATAAAAGTTGTTTGGTGCATGCAAGTAGTATCTTCTTTACATAAAGTTATCAAATTATTACATAAAATGGATTGTTTAGTTTTGCAGCACACAAACACAATTTTGGTCATAATGGCAACAAACAGGAAAGATGATATTGGCTAACCGCGGTTGTTACAAACTTAAAGCAACACCACGGGTCAAAAACACCTTCCTGCTGGAGTTTAGAGATTCATAAACTCCAGTAATTAGACCCCATTTAGATGACTCTTACGATCAAAGGGGATTAAACGTGGCTGCAATTCTGATGCCTTAACCCGTAGGGGCAACCCCTCAGCCACAAGGGAGGAAATTATTAAATGAAATCAGCTGCTGTATATTGATTGAAAATGGCTTTCACGCACTAAACCAATCCATAATGGGAAAAGGTAGATGTTGTTTCACTGATATCATCCAACTTATCAGTCAAATCTACAACCCTTAACGATAGCTTAAAGGACACTCAATGCTCCAGAAATGTCAGTAATATGTTTGAAGTATGTTTGAAAAACTTGCACAATAAATAAACATTCTACAAATACATGCTTTTTATGCTAAATAAATGTTATTAGGAAATTAAAAGGTTATATTATTGCAAAATATAGAGGGAAAATATACCATACCACCCTAAACTTTGTATATTAATAGACAGACATCCCAAGTGGAATTTGGAATTGCCTTTCTAATTCAAGGTATTGAAATATCAAAATGCTAAACTTAATAGGCAGCCTGAACAACTAAAGAGTCTGGTCACACAGTGTGAACAGGCTTGCCATCTGTATAGGCATGGGCATTATGGCAAGGGCTATATTATTGACACTATTAGTGCAGAAATGTGTAATTCTTATTTCTTTTATTGGTTTTAAATTGTACCAACAATTATCATGGATATAGTGACTTTCAAGTTGACATGGATGAAGTACATCATTTCAGGATCAAGCCAGTACCCGAGTGACAGAGTAGAATTACACTAACCTATCTGGCATGAGGGAACATTACAGCTTTCTAAATGTTAAGAAGAATCCGTCAGGTCCCTGGCAGAGTTCAAACAATGAGGAACACAGTTGGCAACTTTAACCACTATGCTATCTCAAATGGCTGTTGTATTATCATTATCACAACACTGATGTTATTAAACCCTTACCACACAAGTATTAATATCCTAAATGTGATGGATGGACCTATCAATCTTTTAGTATGAACTAAATCATTATTAATCACTCATACTGTTGTTGGAAACAGACAAATGCCCCCCAAAAATACACTTCATTGTGTATCTGTGGTCTATCTTTTGGTTGAAATGTTAGATTCATACAAAATTTAATACAGCTTTATATGTGCATCTTATTTTATAAATAAACATACTGCTTGTGCATGATATGCAAAAAAGTATTATTTTAAGATGATTGTGTTTTGTTTTTTTTGTGTTACCATACCAACCAAAAGAGTCACTTACAGTTATGGTAATTTGCTAGAAAACAAAAAAACAAGAGGGTCATAGTGGCCTGCATCGCTCACCTGAGATACATTTCTGGAAAATGTCACAATTCTTCGGTGAAAAAGTAAGTATTTACATATTAGGTTGTCACTTTTAACCCAAGCTACATAAAACACTTGTAGATGTCCACTAGGAGTCTACATGTCAAATATCAAAGCTCTGGGCACAGTTGTTTTCAGGGTCCGCCTGGGCTCCTTGCCACTGGTTCTTGTTGCTGGGTCATATGGGGGTTGCGTTCATTGAACGCCGCCTTTCCTTGTTGATCTTGTTTATCATATTTTACATAACAAGACTGTAAATACATAGAGTTTTATTATGTACTTCTATTTAAACTAAGTGGTCCCAATATTGGACTTTTTGAACCCAGGGCCATGATTTGTGTCACTTTTGTAAACGGCCACTTGGCCACTGTTAGAGCTCTGGCATTAAAGACTCAAACAAGGAGAGTTAAATATGTTTTCCTATAATAAAGTGTATATAACCTAACTAACCCATGTGGCCAATTTAATACGACTTACATAACTCTAGAGAGAACAGATGATGCTTAACATCCCAAATTTTTATGCTCTTTGCTGAACAGTTTTGTAGGAATCTTTTTTAGACATGTTAACTTTCAAAGTTTATGTAACTTAGGGTTCCAATTTAGTACAGGGCTATTTATGACCCTAGGGGAATAATATAGATAACTTTAGCTAAGGTTGTCAAACCAACGCTATATGCAAAATATCTAAGCTCTGGGCTTTGAATTTTTAACAAGAAGATTTAAATGACTGTGTTTTCCCATATATCTTATTTTATATAGTACAATCATGTAATATATATTTTAACTGACCCCAGTGGAATTCTTTATAATAGGTCGACCCAAGATGATGCAACATACAATAAAATGAAAGACTAATATTCAAACATTTGTTGCTGGCACAAATGTTTTCCTTCATAAGTTTATATAAACTAAATGACCAAAGGGGCAGGGCCAATATTCAGCCAAGATGCATGATTTATATAACTTTTGTAGAGGACCATAGGTTATACTACATGCAAAATATCTTAAGCTCTGGGCAATAATTTGTGAAGTGCCATATATTAGGATCATTTCCCCAATTTCCCTCCAAGTGGTTTAGTAAAGAAATTGTGATAACGAGGGCCGATAAACAAAGAACAACAGACACACTGCCATCACAAAAGCCTATCTGTGAGCACAAAGTGCTCAAGTTAACTGAAAATAAAAGATAATTATACTTTACTCACTACTTCAAAAATGTTTTATACAACTTAAAAAAAACTTTTTATACAGTGTTTTTTTATGCTTTTAATCTAATTATAACAAAATCGGCTATTCTTCGCTCTTTTGCCCATGTTATAATGGGACCAAAACCATGTGTTAACATGGTCACGCACTCTTGCTATAGCCCTACCGGGCTCGGGCCCCAACTGTTCCTCGGGACTCTGCAGACGTTATAACACGGAAAAACGTGCGTTAACCCTATATTCATATACTCTACAAAACCCCTAAAATAAATAAGTTATTTATAGAGCACAAGTGATACAACGAGATATCATCAATTATATCTGATTATTAATTTTATTTATTCAATTTTGTAACAATCAAAATTTACGTTAACTAAAGTATAACATTAAACCAACTAGTTTATCACTTTAATATTGCTGCTAAATTACTGTCATTAACTTGTACTGTTTGTCTATGATAATATGAGAGAAACATTTCCTTTCATGTATACACACATGGTTATCCAGGTCATAATTCTTACAACAAACTTATAAGAATTCAATTTTGCAAAAAAATGCAGAATGGAATGTTGCATATTAACTGGAAATGAAATTGATAACAATCTTACCAATTGCCTTATGCGGGCAGTTCATATTTTTCCTATATTTATGCATGTCACTCTCTCAAAATATCCTAATTGAGCTGTACTGATTCAAAATTACAACTGTTGATTTTAGCGTAAAAGATTTCAAGTATGAAAATGAGCAGCAAATGACTGTGCAAACAGGGGTTCTAATCAACGTGTGCAAGAATATTGTTTTAGTGACAAAGCCAAGTCATCTATATATTACTAGCTGCTTACAAGTTTATGATATGTTTCAGAAAATCATGACACGATGAGAGAAGAAAATGATTAATGAAGATCCACTGAGGTTCAAAATCCGACAATAAACATAAAATTTGAAATTCTTACATGGATCAACTGTGACACTTAGAACAAAAATCATATGCAAAAGACAAATAGAGAAATATCTTTAGGATTAAATTGAAAATTAATAGTTTGTGCGTTTCTAGCCCTCACATTTGAATTTTAACACTTTTCAATTTTTGGTTGTTGCACAGTTAAAATAATTATTCTGGATAAAAATGGAGAGTAATTAAATGATTAAAAATTTTGGACTTGAGTTATTCATCCTGACCTACATCGAAGTGTACAAAAATCTCCAATCCCATCATGTGGACCTCAGTGGAGTCATATAATGAATATAACTAAATCAATGGAAAATTCTGTGATTGCCTTTAGAAAAGCCGGGATCTGGCATCTATTTTATATATACACGTATATATATACATGTATATAGAAATCCCGGGAATCGACCACCTGCCATGGATATCATCAATAAATTATGGATTAGTTCCAAGTCCTACATTTTGTTACAGAAGTAAGAGTTTTTAAGGAAATTAAATAGCTGATAATATAGTTTGGTTAAATAAGAACAGTTTATATTAAAGTACGAGGGGCATATTTTTTAATTAGTGGCAACAGCAGCGCATTTTTATAAATGATTAGTAAAGTCCTTCAAAATATCCACTATGGACCTCTACACACTTTTTCAACCTCAGAATCCATTCTGAGAAAGCAATTTTTAACTGTTCTTTGGGTATACTTTTTATACACTGGTACGGAGCACTTCCAACGGCACTACAGATTTTGAACTGGCAACCGTGAAAGCAAGATTTGATGAATGGATTTAACCAAGTCACAAGGAGAGAGGTCAGCACATAATCGGAATTTAGAAAAACCTCAATTCTTTGCTCCCTTAGATAAGCTTGAACCAAGGCACAGGTGCATTATCATGGAGTAAAATGTTGGGTTCTTTGTACTGTGGTGATTAACTACAGCAGTGAGAACATGGTAAAATGTTCAAATGACACTACCCCTCTCAGGCACAGTGACACTGGCCACTATTCCATCACTGTCAAAAAATAGAGCATACATAACTCTTAACATTCCTGGTACATCAAGCAACAACTGTGCCATGTCTGTTTTAACCTACCCACATTTTTTTTTACTGAGTTTGTTGTCTGGCTAAAAGAAACAACAATAAAGCAATGTTCATGCCCCTGTGACATTTTCTCTCAGGCGTCTTTTATCTCCTCCACGGTACATCTTGCATCTTCATCAACTATGGCTTTGACAGTGCTGATGTCTTTTTCAGAGGTAGCGGAAATCTTTATTTCTGACACACAATTACCCAATAACCCACAAATTTTGCAATAAGCTCATTGCTCCTCTGCAACCCAGCCATATTCAGTATGTAAAACCACATGTATTTAAATGACCTGCCAACATTTTATTGCACGTGCAAATCATGCGAAAATACACTGTTGGTAATCTTTCCAAAATTATATTATACATGTACTTTCACTTGCAAATCATAGTTAAATTAAGTTGTTGCCACTAATTAAAATATGCTGCTTGTACACATAAACCCATTTCATTTGAGTTTTTCCATTATAAAATCATTGAAACCACTACTCCAACTAGAAAATTTTATCCATGTACTAGCAAAGAATGATTAAAACACTAGATCTGTAATCACACAAACTTACAATCATCCCCAGACTCGGACTTAATTGCTAAAAAAAAGCGACACTAAAATTGAAAGGGTATCAAGTTATATCAATGAAAGTAGTTTTATGAAATTTATAAGTGGTTCCTTAACTGTATAATTGAAACTTGAAAGATTTTAAAAATAGAATGCCTTGGTTATTTCACATGCATGAACATTGTGAGTAAACTGAATAAAATGTTCCAGAACAAAAAATATTATATATGTATTTTAAATATGGTTTAGCATGCCTCATTCTTTCTTAAGAATACAATACATGTATTTCGGAAGTATTATTTCCAAAAATTTTAACAATAAATAATAAAATAAATGAAATTCATCTTTTCACTTTCTCAACTTACAATTTAACCAGCCGATTTCTTCTCGGTCAGTGGTTTTCTCTGAGTATGATACACCATTTGTGCGACCTTCAAACTTGGGTCTATAGAATACAGGAGAACTCTTTATGAAGTCGGTGTATGTGCCGAAGTATGGCACAACTTGATCACCTGGATTTCCTTCAGCTGAAACAAAATTGAAAAAAAAAATATATTAAAATTCTGATTTCATAGATACTATGCTTATTTTTCTTTATTAATCTGTTTAATATTTCACAGTGTAAGAAAAATGTGTAACCTGTCCAGGTTAATCTGTGTTGATGTGACATGGTAAGAAAAATCACAGTGTTGCCTGAATGGGTAAATGAATCTTGGATCTTCTGAATACTGCTCCCCAGCTCTACTGATTTACCTATTTTGTCCCCTATTTATTCAACAGCTGTGGTATTCAGTGACATATTAAATTAAACCCACTTATATCTAATGGGTACAAAGAACTCTGACATATAAACAGTTAGTACCACACATTGGGCACCAAAGGTTAGTTTGACTGTGAATCTGGTTGAGATTCTCGGACGGCACAGGTCACTTTCCTTGTGATTGATCATGAAATCTTACTAAAGTCAGTCGCACTGTACCTCTGCACTGACATGAACAGAACTAATCAGTTCCTTGCAAAAGTGAAAGCAACTAGTACTGGTAAACTGTCAAGCACTTTACCCTGGAACAATGCAGTAGCTGAACTGTGCTCCGTTAAATTCAAATAATCCAATGACCGGGGAAAAAAAAAACTTTCAAAGAAATCCTCCCAAAGATCATTCCTGTGAACTTCCATCAAAGTCCACTGCATATTTAAGACAATATTTGTTTAAAGAAATTATGCATAATAACTAATGTCTTACGGTGAAAATCATATGATCAGAATAGCTCATTTCACAGCACAAAAAAAGGCTAAGGTAAGCTTAAAATGTTTTCCCCCAACCTTTTTTCCGAAAGTAACCAACAAAGTAAATCAAATGTTTACAAAATACTTATTCAGTAAATTTGGAAGTAATAAAAATTACTTGTTTGATGTATAATAACCATAAAATCTAAAATGTAAAGTGTAACTTACATATAAGGATTGCAGTGTAGTTATCCCACGGATCAAAAGGACAGTATGCCACTCCGTTAGATGTCTCATTGATTTGTAAGTGGTCCTGAAAAAAAAGCAAATAAATTAATAACAATAACATATTAACAAATTACTAGATTCTTTCAATAGGTTTTAATGCACATACTGGGTCAACAAACACTATATCTTACCATTCAAAAGTTATAAAAACATCTTAAGAAAATATTATCATGATCAAATTTTTAATCATATTACAACTTTTGCAAAATAAAGCAAAGTCCAACAAGGAATTCTATAGATTTCTCCTGAAAAATAAATAAGCAAACAAATGTTTTCATTTGCACTCTGTGGTTTTGAAAAAACATTAAATATAAACACTAATCAAATTATCGTGAAAAACTTTTGCAAAATGGTTTTTAATTAATTTCAATATCTTAAGAAATATTTAAAGCCCCTTAACATATTTTTTTTTTACTTCCATATCAAAAATATACGAAATTTGGCCATAACCCCTTGACAAAAGATAAAACTCTATACCAAAAATAGATAAAAACAATTTCGTTTTCCAAAAGCTTAGGTCAGGTTCACAAGTGAGATTTTATTAATTTTACTATGAGCATGTGGGATGCCATATTATCCCGCCCGCTAATTAGCATATAACGGGTTAGTTGCTGTTATGGGAATGCCGAGGTATTTCCTGATGATTTTGTAAATTTATAAGTGAAACACTATGATTTTTTATCCATTCCATTTGTTGCAATATCTTTGGTTAACATTTTTGTATATCTTATAATTCAACTACAAAAATTATGTGTAGAGGCTTTAATAAGAAGCACAATGTTTTAAAGACATTAAAATATTTCATTTTATAATAAACAAAATAATTTTACATTTTAACAGTTTTTTAATATAATAAGATAAATACATGACTAATGCATGGCATTGTCTGTATTTTATCATAATATAAGAGATCTTTCAGAAGTACAAAATGCATATATTTAAAGAAACATCATTTTCAAGATATTTCATGCCAAACCATACACTTTTATCAAGTACAGTAAGTATGCAAGTAAGTAATGATTTTATTTAATGAGGCTAACACATTCGGTTTCCTGATCTTCCATGCGGGCCTCAGGCTCTCAGCATATACATTGTATAAACATAACAATATATACATTAAACATTTTAAATAACATATATACACAAATCGAAAAAAACAAAAAAAACATCAAGAAACCATATTTTCATAACCTGGGCATGAAAAATTCATTATTTTACAAGTAAGATTAGAACAATATTGTAAAAACAAAACATTACACATTCTATTCTTATATGGCATTATCAGACATAACAACAAAATGTACAATCATTTAATTAGAAAATTGCCACTTAATATAATTATGTGGCTTGAAATTTCTTCAAAGTATCTGAATTTCGAAGGCGGGGGCTGCTGCCTAGGGGCTAGGCTGCTGCTCTGGGGCTGAAGCGGCCCTTTCTGTGCGTCACAACTTCTCCACTAATAGCAGCAACACTGTATGGGAACCTAGACCTCCGGTAGAGCTATGCGTTACCGATTGTTTAAGCTGTTGGGAATTAGCCAAGGTCTAAGTTGAGTCCCAACACAAATATAAAGTGTACACCCCAAGCAGTCGGTCAAGTAGATTACTCTACTTTCAGTATGTAGAGTGTGATAGCAGATAATTTTGGGGAAATGAAGATATACACAGATGTTCCTGATTACTAATTCAATTTATTCCTTTAGAAATGTCAACGTTCAATATTGCAATATTGACCTTTCAAGTTTCCTATACAAAGTTTCTAATAGTTCTTTTTATTTAAGTTTAAAATTACAATATTCCTTTCAAGTTCCCTATACAAAGTGTCTAATAGTTCCTTTTATTAAAATACATTAAGTCCGCAATGTTTCTTATCAAAAATGTTTTCAAGAGTTTTTTTAACACAATTTTACATTAATTCTGATTATTAATAGTTCTTATTCTTAATAATTCCTATTCTGTTCCTAACAATTCTTGAAAATTTCAATTCTGTCTTAATAACCCAAAAACTTCTGTCTTACCTTATTTTTGTCTCTCTATATATAATATTCTCACTGTCTGTTACGTAATTTCCTTATACATTGTAGCATTAATTGCTGAAAGCTATAAATTATTATAAATAAATAGCACCTAAACCAGAAAGTGTTGATAAGAATCATCAAAGATTTCTAAAAGCTAAATAATCTTCTTAAGTGTCAAAAAGACTGACATACCATATGTGATATTTAAGTACTAAGATAAATTTACTAAAAATATGCCTTATGGCTTTTTACACCTAAACAGTAAGATAATTGAAAATATGATTATGATTTCAAAACATTACAATAAATCTGAAAAAAAAAGCATTTATCATAAAATATTTTAATACATAACATACACACATTCATACATAACATTATTATTATTATTTACATTTTCTTTTGTCATTTTATAATTTTACTATTTTTAATTATTTTATTTTCATAAAATTGGGGTCAAATATGCCCTCGGTGGCAACAGCCAATCAGCACTGACTTTACATCTTAAAAGATATGCTGTGAGCCAATCAGCATGAAATTTAGAAATAGGAGACAAGGAAGCTTAATCATGCAGTATGGCAGCACACCACATTTATTGAAGCCACAGCTTCGAATGGCCAGGGAGGATTTCATGGATATAGTGACTATTTTGGACTTAATGACTGGTTGTCTTTAAAGTGCATTTTCAGCATGCATGAAATTTGTTTTTGTGACATGTAATATGATCATTGGCAAATTCGAAAACATGGTTAGAAATCACATGCTTTTATATATAGATGTCAAGGCTCCCATTGTTTGTAAACATTGTTTTTAAACAGCATGCTCGGTGAAAACAAGTAATTTTACAGGGGGGTCCAAACTTTCAGCAATAGCAAAAAATCTACAAGGCCAAGCACCTATTTCTTTGTGATATTTTGCATGTATAGGGAGCTGCTAAATCAGTGACAGAGTTTCTGTAGCCTGTATATTTGCAGGTATGTTTTTGCCGGAGGGACGAAATATGTTGTTTTGGGTCTTGGACCACTATAGATTTTTGGCTTTTACGGAATGAATTGGAATTTTTTTAACTGCCTGACTGTTGCACGTGGGATGATTTCATTATAGATTTGCAATGTTATGACATATATATTATGTTCTTAACAAAATGTGTTTTCTTTTTCCAGGTTGTGTAGTTTGGGATCAGATTTATCAGACATATTGCTTGTAGGACATTGACGGCTGAAACTTGAAATTTAGTGTAGAGTGCTACCTATGAATACTTATCAAAGTCATTAACTTAGAAAATGATGCAGAGAGTTTATTATCATACAGAATAGCCTCACAAGATGCACATATAAAGTGGTATCCTTGTAAAAGTATAGCATGTTTGTGTTTGTTTGTTTAATGTAACTTTGTTGGTAATAGAAAGCACATTTTATTGAGAGGGATATTGTTGTATATACCAATGTAGGCTGAAAATGGAAAGGTTACAACAAGTAAATATCTATAAATAAACATATCTAATATTTGAATACAAAATATTCATACATCATTTTTCTAAGAATTGTTAAATATATTAAGAGAAAAGAGCATTAAGGGCCATCTAGGTTTGAAAATGCGTCATAGTCATTCACTTAACAAAGTATGCAGATATTAACACCTACAGTGTCATCTATGACTTATGTATTGGTCAGGTTTCAAGCCACACAGGCACTAACAAGTTCATCATCAGCCACTATTATTTAAATAATATTTAAATTTTGTCCCTCCAAACATTATTTCAGGTACAAGAGGGCACTTGAGGTATCACTTAAAATTATCTGCTATATAAAATTAGCTTGACAGCCTCCTTACACTATAAAATTCAAAGTTCCAGAAGGGATCTAAAGAACTGAATTGTTTTAGTATATTTTTCAAATATAAAATTTATGGAAAAAAAGAACAATAGCATTTCAAAACCTAGATGGCACTTAATATCACTATTCAGAAGTTAAGTAAACAGTACAAAAGTTCGGGTATGTAATTATACTAATATCTTATACTAACTTTGTAGCTAAAAGATTCACGCTGATAAAATTAAAAACATAAGCGTAAAACAAAATATTGATAAAATAAAAAAGCACTATTTGAGCCGTGTCACGACAAAACCAACATAATGGGTTTGCGACCAGCATGGATCCAGACCAGCCTGACCATCCGCGCAGTCTGATCAGGATCCATGCTGTTCGCTTACAAACTCTATAACAAGTAGAGAAACTGATAGCGAACAGCATGGATCCTGATCAGACTTAGCGGATGCATGCTGGTCGCAAGCCCATTATGTTGGTTTTGTCATGACACGGCTCATTTATATTTTCACTACAAATTAGCTATCAACAAGAGCTGTACAAGCAGCAGCAGACTCCAGTTCTTTTAGTGCCAAAAAAAGGGCATTAGTAGGACAACCTGTCTGGATAATGTAGATTTATCTTAATTCAAAAAGGGCCATAATTCTGCAAAAACCTATGCTAGAGTTAAAGGCCTTGGACAGTAACCTCCTAGTATGCTCTTAAAATTTAGCCAAAAAATGCTGTCTAATCCTTATAACGTATAAAACTTTGCAAAATCGAACCAAAAGTGAGGGTAACTAGTTAATATGATTTAATATAATTTGCCAAATTTGCGTCTTATCCATGTATATCAAGCATGTGTCAGCTAAACGTTGTTAAAAATTAGTTCCTATACCACAACACCGAAGCATAATCAGGCAAATAAACATAATTAGTATTAAAGATCCTGTAACACAAATTTTTTATGGTTTTATATCATAAATATAACGCTCAAATTAAGATTTCTCAATATTGTAAGTTCCAAAAAGCATTATTTGTAAAGATATTACCGAATTTACATTTCATGTTAATAAAGGGAGGTAATTAAAAATTTATTTTCTATAAAGTCAAATTTTTCAATAAGAAATGAATGCATATATTTCAATGATTACATAATTTTAATGTGGACAAATATTTGCAGTACATATTTTCATATTCTTCGATGTCTGAAAATTATTTTACAAGCATAATTATATACATATTTAAAATTTCACTTAAGTGTGGTAACAACCTTAATTTAAACAAACAGGATCTTTAATAATTATCACTAATCTAGCAGAATGAAGATCTATTTAATCATGATATAAAGATTTATATAATCATATCAATTTTTACTTACAGTCAGATGATATTTGATTGGAGCGTAGCCGCCTGTACCACATACTAAAAGTTTGTCAGGCATTTCCATAACAACACGTATATGGTTTTGGCATTCTACATCCTGCAAGATAAAATCCAAATTACTATGTCATCTACATGTTTTGACAGAAAAGGTCCTTTAGAATAAGAACATTTTTTTAATTGTTATTGTCTTAAAAGTTAAGTTGAAACTGTAAAGATCATATCTTTACTGTTTGAGGAAGTCGACCGGTGCCACTCTATGCATTAATGCAGGCACGAGTGAGCAAACGAGTAGAACCATCAACGTACAATAGCCTCAGTCAGGGGCATTACAGGCTCTTACCTTCCAAACCTAGATCTATAGAATTGTGTACATATAAATAATGATGAACACAATAGTTGTTTAAAGTTAAGAAACATATTTATGCTAGCTTTTATGCTAATAGCATGTTATATTAGCACCGATTGCCCACTTTATGTTAAACTTTGTTGATTGATGAAAACAATGCTTATATTTATATAAAGTGGTATCCTTATTAAAGTATAGTTTGTTTGTGTTTGTTTGTTTAATGTAACTTTAGATTTAAAGAAACATCATTTTCAAAATATTTCATGCTAAACAATATACTTTTATTGAGTACAAACAAATTTGTCCAATTAGCATTGATTATAGAAATTGCAAAAAGTTCTTAACAAGTCAACAAAACTTAAATTAAAAGAGGAAGATCATGACTGACCTTACGCTGCAGAATTTTAAAAGCACTGGACCAATTGCCACAGACTAAATTTGAATATTCAAATGCTGACAGCCAATCAGCAATGACTCTAGAACTTAAAAGATATGCTGAGATCCAATCAGCATGAAGTTTAGAAATAGGACTCAAGGAAGCTGAATCATGCAGTATGAATACTTATCAAAGCCATTAACTTACAGAATGATGCAGAGACTTTACAATACCAAATAGCCTCACAAGACGCTTACTTGAGTTATTAAACTCATAAGTTTTATTCCTGAAGAAGCAATATGATTACTTTGGCAATCAATTGACAAGAACATAATAAACTCGATACTTTTTTACTATGACACAAATGTTTGCTTCATTTTACACCTTTTCCCAACAGTATTTCAGTCATATAGGCGGGTAGTTTCCTAACCATTGTTCCTGGAGAGTAACACCAGTACTAGACTACCTTCCTTTGTGCCAAACTACCAGAGCATCTCCCGGGGATCGAACCAACGCCAGAGAGGCAACTGGATTAGAAGTCATCGACTCTAACCCCTCGCCAACGGAAGCCTTTTCTATGACACAAATGAATGACTTTACACAACTGACCCCTAACTCCATCCAAAGGAAGAATATCATGCAACTTATTTTCCTACAAAATATGAAATAAATCTGTCAATATATAAAGGCTGTATGAGCAAATGTGTAAAAATCTATTTTTAGCACTGGTGACCTTGACCCAACTGACCCCTACCTCCATCCAAATGAGAATATCTCAATTTTATGTTCCTACAAAATATACAAGACATTTGTCGATAGAATAAGGTTAATACACTTGTAAAAGTGTAAAAAATCTATTTTTGACATTGGTGACCTTGACCCAAATTACCCCTTACTAAAGGAAAAGGAAGAGGACCTCCCTTGGTATGACTATTATAAGCACGAAAGACATTAACTTAAAAATAAAGGCTGTATGAGCAGAAATGTTTAGATTTATTTTTTTACACAAGTGACCTTGACCTAGAGATGTCTAATGCCACAAAAAATTAGAGGACCATTAAAGGTATCCACCTACCAAATATGAAAGATATCATTAAATAAATTAAGTAATTAGGTGAAATTTTTTTATGAATCCAACTTGGCCGAATAGGTTAACCATACAAGGCCCTATTTTCAAAGTGATAAAAAGGGAAATTACTGGGAAAATGGATGGCACATTTATATAACTTGGCAATACCATGTACATTGTATTGATAAGTAAGTGTGAAAATTATTAAGCCATTAGTTCAGATAGAACATAAGATATTTCCAACTTGCCGGTTTATGTTAACCATTATTCATTTTTTAAGTGCTGAAAAGGGACATAACTTGGTGCAAATGGAAGCCATAGTTATGTAACTTGCCCAGATCATATACTTGTATGGATTAGTAAGTGTGTATATTATGAAGCCATTGGTACAGGTAGAACTTAAGAAAAATCCAACTTGCTGTTCTAGGTTAACCTGGCACCGTTGGAATCGCTAGAGGACTGACTACACAGCCACCAAGTCTCATGGCCGTAGCCCAAATACAAGGCCGGCACCAAGTCGGAATGCATTAGGCCTTTTTCGCTTCGTTTTTGTTTTTTTATATACGTTTGCGCTCAAAGTTTCTAAAAAAAAGCGGGTGCGACAATTGGCACTGTGTTCGAACCGTAGGTCCGATTCGCTTGCAATTGGCACCGTTGGAATCGCTAGAGGACTGACTACACAGCCACCAAGTCTCATGGCCGTAGCCCAAATACAAGGCCGGCACCAAGTCGGAATGCATTAGGCCTTTTTCGCTTCGTTTTTGTTTTTTTATATACGTTTGCGCTCAAAGTTTCTAAAAAAAGCGGGTGCGACAATTGGCACTGTGTTCGAACCGTAGGTCCGATTCGCTTGCAATTGGCACCGTTGGAACCGCTATTGGATTCACTACAAAGCCACCAAGTCTCATGGCCGTAGCCCAAATACAAGGCCGGCACCAAGTCGGAATTGAATTAGACCTATTTCGCTTCGTTTTTGTTTTTTTGCAAGCAAGCGAATCGGACCTACGGTTCGAACACAGTGCCAATTGTCGCACCCGCTTTCTTTTATGACATGTTTTATTTCTATTTACAGCTGAAAGCAGGATTGGTAAGAAACAATTTCAGCCATTTTTCTTGCTATTTTTTGCATTTGTATAAAACAATTTTGCCTCTTTTCCTACCTATTACTTGCAGTATGAAACAATTACAATTATTTGACATTTATATAAATACCACTGTATTATATACAGAAACAGAACCATAAGTCTATCAAGAGGTACTTAAAATTGTTGACACTGTGGGATAATATTTAAGAATTCCACCATGTCCAACATTGTTATATTTTTGTCATACCTTCTCTTTTCCCTGTATATAACATCTTCTGATAGTGTCATTGGTAGGTCTTGACTCGTTATAGTTCTGAAAGAAGAATACACCACATATTGAATGTTTTAGTCAATGAGTCTGTACATTTATTTCTCATTATTCACCTTTCATACATTATGATATAAGATATAAAAACTTCAAACCAATTATAAATAATTTGAAACAGTGTTGTTCCCTCTAAATATAAAAATAGAAATAAAGATATCATAAAATAAAATTCATCTGTTTTCAAAACTGTAATTTTTTTTATTTGTTTGGGTCGTCAGACCAAACAAATAATGGTAGCGAAATTTCAGAGTCTAATGTTGCTAATTGCAAATGCCGAAAGTAGTCCAATTTTTTGGAGCGGTTACTTCCCTTTTGTATGTACACTAAAGCTGAAAAATTCAGGGGAGATCACTGCGTAAAGATGGTCAAAGACAGGCGCATCAATTTTCAAGCAAAGTAATTCCCGAATGGTCAAAGATTTCTAATATTGTTTTATTGTATTTTCTGATCGAAAATAACTAAATACAAAGCGGACATTCAATCTCTGACACAGAAGTTTACTACAAACCTAACAACAAGTAGTTCTCAAAACAGCTAAAAACTAGCGATTTAAAAGAAAGAAATATTTTATTTTGTTACAAGTATCCAACAAATTACAACGCATTTAAAGTTAAACAATAGCGTTTGGCTTATAGAATTGTCAATAAATGCACAATCACAAATTACGCAGATGAATATGATTTTATCAATGAAAATACTATTTTTAGCCATGTTGATTACCGAATACTACACAAACCCGAGTAGTGGAATATATAGATTCTACATGCCGGACCGTTTGGGCGAGAGGATTTTTGCTAAAATATCTACTTCAATTATAAACAACAGGTTTAGCCTAAACAAAATACCTCGAAATTAATAAGGATTACAAACCCGAACTGCAATGGAAGTTCCAAATTTAGAATGATTTGATATTATTCAGACACACTGTGTATAACTTTTCCGTGGTACAAGGGTAACGCGCTCGCCTCGTGAGTGAGAGGTCTCGAGTTCGTATCCAAGTCGAGAAAACTTTTTTTTTTTTGTTAAATTCTTTTTTTTAAGTGTTTTTGTTAAGGAAGTAGCCATGATATACAAAGATAAAGTGTGGCTGTCGTAAAAAAAGGACATAAATGATTTTTTTGATGCAACTCTAGTTATGCAGAATTACGGATGTATCAAACTCTGGTGCCTTACAAAAGGAATTATAATACATAAAAATAAACTTATACAGGAAAATGCATACAGATATACAGTACGATTGCAAAGATCAGAAAAATACCACAGAACTTGCAGCAGTTTGATTCTTTATAAAATATACATGCTTATAGTAAGCTCCAGGATTATTTACATCTGTGTTAAACAACAGTTAAAGTCGTTACAAGCCCTAATTTAGAATAATATGGTTTTCTTCAGGCCGTTCACACATAAATTCACCGTGGCTGAAGGGTTTTCGGGCTCGCTTAGGAAGCGAGAGGTCTGGAGTTCAAATCCCAGTAAAGGTTACTCATTTTTTTAAATTGTTAAAGTCAAATAAACATTGGATTGAATATCAGTGTTGCAATTAGTCTAATAGCCAATTTACTACAATTAAAACGCTGGAAAGCATTGGTGGCACTAAACATATAATCTCACAACCTGCACCTTTCTTACATTCTGAGACCCAAACAAATTCAGCGCCTTCTGTGCTTTGATTTACATAAGCAGTGGTGGACATTATAGTAGTTGATCAGTCAGCAACATGTTACCATCTGTAGCTATAACTACACTGTAGCATAACTATCAGTCAGCTGCTTATTGTAAACTAAAGTTGCTTTGATATTGAAATCTTACTGTTGAAAAACAATATGCTTGTCTTGAGTGATCATTGTTTCAAGAGATAATTCAAAAACAGACAAACCCCCACCCCTATTCTGAAAATGCTGATATGAAACAAGGGATATGATACTGATATAACCCAAAAGCTTATAACTCTGTGTCCTGCAAAAATGGAGAACAAAACTGCAAAGCTAAGCACAAATATTGTTTAAAAGACAGCAAGAGATATCAAAGAAGTTTGTCCGGTTAACATAATAGGTACAGCGTTGGACTGTGAATCTGGCGATCTGGGTTCAGTTCCCAGATGGTGCAGGTCACTTTTGCTGAGATCGATCTATCTTCAGTTAATGTCAAACCCCTTGCGGGGACATAGACATGTCTGCGCATCAAAAATCGCAAGAAAATTAAAAAGAGTTGTTTAAAAGATAAAAGAATATTTAAAATTGTTAAAAACAGGGGCTGGAAAACTAGGGTGAGACATGTTCGATCCAAGCTATGGCTGCACTGAACTGCTTTGGGGTATGGAGTAGGGCAACTGCAGGGGGTAGGTGGTTCCAGTGGTATACGGTCCTAGGAAAGAATGAGAATTTATAAGTCTGAAGTAACTTCAAGTTTCTGTGAATAACCTATAACATAAGGGATGTTCATGGCGTGATATTCGGGACAGGGGTGTCAAATATTCTTCTATAAGGATAGCAACCAGACCATGGTGAATCCTTTAGAGAAGGGATGACCTAGCATCTATATGTCTGAGTTCCAGTTTTCAAAGGTTAAGGGAGTGAAGCATGTCCGTGACACAAGAGGTCTGACCAAAGTCTAGCTTAGGGGCAAAGTCTAGTAATTGGTCATGAAATCTTTTCTAAAGTCAATTGCTCTGTAACTCTGCTCTGGCATCTGTTCCTTGCAAAAGTGAAGGTAACTAGTACTGGTAAACTGCTTGACAGTCTGTCCGGCTAAACTTTGCTCTGGTAAACACAATTTGGCTTACTGCCGTGATTCAGAGTGAGAACTACCAACACCACTACCACATAGGAACTCAGTTACAAAGTGAGCCAGTGGTAACATTTCACCAGAAACGACTGCTTTTCAGAGTTGGAAATTATCCATTGTCAATATTTTCTGATATTTAATTTGAGCATAGAATATGTTTAAACAATAATTTGAAGAAATGCTGTGACCAAGGGCATTTAAGCTTTAGCTTAAACGGCGCCAATCAGATTAATATGAGCAAACTTGATAAAAGACTACCCAAGAATGCTACAGACAAAGTTTGGTGATTATCCATCCATTAGTTCTGTAGTAGAAGATGTTTAAAGGTTTTTCTATTTTTAGCTCTGTTGACCCCTAAAAGGGGCCAATTGAAATGACATGAGCAAATTCAAGTGTGACTGTTACAAGGATGCTACAGACCAAATTTGAAGTAAATCTGCCCAGCGGTTTCAGAGAAGAAGACGATGTTGACGCATGACGACGGACGCCGGAGTATCCCCCTTTGATACTAATAGCTCACCCTGAGCCTCCGGCTCTGGTGAGCTAACAAGTCTAATAGTACAACAACAAAATGCAAAATTCCTTTTACAACATGATCATCTAAAACCAAAGAATGCCATGAGATTTGCCCTTAATTAAAAATATCAACCACAGTAAATGTTCAACTCACCAAACAGCTCATATCAGTCATGTCAATTTTATACACATTATTCCTGGAAAACAAAAGATTACAATATAAACAATGAATAAAACAGTTATAGCAATATGTTTGTTTGTTTGATGGGTCATACCAACACTATAAAGGTCACTTGGAAACTTCCTAGAGTGGTGGCCAAGGAACACTGTAAATGCTGTAGAACTATTTAGTTACAAGTATAATGAGGGCTAGAAACCAGATGATAAATAGAAATCATAATTTGTGAAAATTACCATCAAGGAAGTAACAGACTCACTTTTTTATTTGTTATAATATGCTTAATACAGTACAGTAATACTTGTAATAGAGTATTTAATGACTTACAGTCTATAATAACATAAGATTTGTTTTATCAGCAATGTTTGATGGTAATATAAAACACACCTTTCCTTTGATAAACAATATGCTTAGTCAGCAAAAATAGACATGAATCTGTAAATTACTTGAAAAAAAATTAGATTAGTTGAATAATTCAAAACATCCGCAAAGATTTATTACTAACCAACCTTTAACTCTTTACATTCCTAAACAATATCTACATCTTAAACGAAAGCAAATTTTTCACATAAAAAAGTTGAGAACTGAATAATAAATATTCTGTTTTACATCATTTTCAAATTATGATCTGTTCCTCCTTTAGTTTTATAAAAAATTATTTTAGTTTGATTGTTTTGTAAGCTATAAGCTTATTGAAACACTCTCAAATCCAATCATGGAACCAACCAGTACTAAGCAATGAGTGTAATTTTTCTTGCTTCAGGAAACAACGGCTTGCCTCTGACAGGGTTTGAACCCAATTGCGTTGTTTATAGTTATAAAGTGAAGGAAAACTCTTTAACTTACATGGCACCAACATATAAAATATTTGGATCCTTATGACTCCTCTCTAAATATCGGAAATATTTCTTCTTAGTTGCAACAAAGTTACGTGCGTCTCCCGGACAACCAGAGCCATCAAAATATTTGTACACATCTTTTAACTCTGAAATATAAAGGTATCATTTAGGTATATTTTAATAACTACAGAACTTTAATATTTTCTTGTAACTTAGTCTCAAGGGATGAATTGTTTACTATGTACCTATAATTTTGGCAAATATGTCATGGCTTTCATAAAAAGTTATACACAACCAATTTTAAATTTTGGAAAAGGGAAAGCGAATTTTTTTAAAATTTTTTCAATATAAAAGGGAGATTTTTCATTTTGATGTTTAATTCTATTTAATTTGGGTTTGTCAATTTTTTAGGCTATTTTTTCCTTTAAAGGAAAATTTTAGTATGGGTTTTAAAGTTTTCGAAATGTGTTTAAAAAAATTTAAATTTGGGTTTCGGGACGGGGCATTAGCCGGGTGAACCCAATTTTTTTTTTGTAAAAAACTTTCCCAAAAAAATTTAACCCCCTTTATATTTTTAAAATTTTATTTTTATAAACAGTCGATTTACTAGACTAATTGACAGTTTGCCGATATACCAAAGTTAAATGTTTAACAATACATTTGAAATACTGCAATTCTATTGGACAAGAAATAATTTCAAACACTAAGCGTTATTCCCTCTTGACATTTTTTTTTCTATGATCTCACTGACATGCTATCAAAAGCTGTCCTCTTTCTAGGTCAATTCCAGTTCATAACACTGCTAAAATACATGTAGTTTGATGTCCTAAATCTGACTGTTTAAATACATATTATTATTTCTTTACACTTTTCTCAGTAATAATATTATTTTTTTATTTGGTTTATTCTTATTGTTCCCAAATGTAGAGGAGATAAATGTGTCCAAACACCAGAGTAAATATTATGTTCCCTTTATCAAACAATATATATACAATAATTATGGCCTTCATCAAGTTAATATAACATCACTGGTGAAGAATAAATGTAGTTATTATTTCTACTAAATGAGGAAATCTAAATAAGGGAAGGTAACAATTGATTCCATTGCTTGACTGAGGGGGTGAATGGCTACAGTTACTGACTTTTTACCAGACTTGATGGAGGGGGGGGGGGGGGGGGGGGCATTAGGCTAAAGTTAAAACTGACTTTTTACCAGACTTGATAATTTGCCTGATGGAGGGCTGAATATAAGTTATATTTTAGTAGACTTGATATTGCGTGATGGAGGGCATGAATCAACTTGATATTGCCTGATGGAGGGCATGAATAAACTTCATATTGCCTGATGGAGGGCATGAATCAACTTCATATTGCTTGATGGATGGGGTGACTGGCTACAGTTACAACTTAACAGTGGAGGAGGTGAATGGCTACAGTAATTACACAACACTTGGGCAAATAAGTCTGTAACAAAACTTAATCTGAAGTGATACAACATCTGATACAGCTATTGTGTCTCCTATTCTTTCAGCAGCATTTTTAATTGGCTACTTGACCTAGTAACATTTCTCCCACAACAATTAAACTGGAAACACTTAGTTACAGTTTGAAACAATTTACTGATTAACAATTTTTCCTCCCAATTTAGTACAAAACACACTGAAAATAGCCCAAACATTACACTGGATCAAAGTGTAACTCAAGATAACCACTTTGAATACTTACATAATTGGATGAGATATATACCATTGTAATTTACTTACGAAACAATTACAGATTTAAATTAGAAAGTGTTTGAAGCTGGAAACACTACACCCATGGTCTTTATGTCTAATTTGTCAAAGTGAAATGTATACATTTAAACATCTTGTAAATAGGGTGTGGTGACATATGGTATTTTTGACTTGGCATTTACAATAATATTGACTTAACATTAAGACATTTAACAGGTGCCTGTCTGTTTATAACAACACTGCCAAATAAAACCAAAAGTTTGATCCCCTGCTACAGTGCTACTCACTTAATATTACTGAAGTGCCATATACTGATGCTTTATAATGTTCAATGCAAAAGAAACATGATTACTTTTACAAAATATGCATTCCTGTATCTTATATAACCCTTATTCTGCTGAGACCAAAAGTGATGGGGATAGTGATGGGAGCTGGATCATATTAGGATCATATCTTAAAAGGCACATTAAGTCTCAGAAATATTTTCTTCTTCTTTTTTTAATTGCAACTTAAGTTTCATGTTGTTTAAATTAAGGATTTAATTTTGCAAGTTAGAGGCTTCATCACTTGAAAAAAAGTAGTGCCAAGTGAAGAATAATTTGTCATGAAAGTAGCACAATGCAAGCAAAGTAATACTTTGACTGAATCCATACAAAATACTCAATCATTATAACTTAACTAAATGCAAAAGTTATATAATTTCCAGTGAGAAACTATTAGAAAATTGTATTAGGACATCAAAAATAAAAAGGTTTTGAGAAATAAACTTTTATCACTTTTGAAGTCTTAGTTAGTGGGCCTTTAATCGTTTTCTCAATGGTCAAAACATTTGCATTTGAACATTTATGGTTATATAACGAGAACTGGGTAATAATATATCTACAAGCAATTTCATCCTTTCTAAAAAATATCATTATATAAAAACAGACTAAAGTTTAATTTCAGTTTTATCATCAATAGGGAAGAAATATCTCGGAAAACCATTAAGTAACAAAGAAATTTTAATAGCTACTTACTGGCCAGTAATTGATTTGAAAATTCTTGAATGTATTACATACCATTAAAAAAATAATGTAAAATTTATTCTTATACCATGGAGGTAGGGACTTGGAAGTTCTGAACATGTATTTCAAGTTTGATTAACAAATCACATTAAATAAATGATAGAAAAATAACATCAAAATCAAATTCCATCTGCTGAATTTCAAGTTGTAAACTTAGTTTCCTGCTTACATGAATACAGGGCAAGAGTTATTATAAAGCATGTGAAAAACTGGGGAGAAAAGAGAAGGTATTATGTCATTTTTATGACATAAATGTATATACTGCACCAGCAACCCAATGATAACGTAAATTTATGGTTTTTAGATTATATGCAATCTAACTGTCACGCCTTGTCATATACAAGCTCTCGTAAAGTGTTTAACTTCTCTGACTTTTTATTTTAAATAAATGCTATGATTTTCTGTATTCATTATATAATTACATGATAATAAAATTCATTCGAAATTTATGGACCGGATATCAAAGCTTTGCATAATACATGTATTTGTTGAATCAGCTTTTTTAGTGATAAAATATTTTTTCCCACTCATTTATAAATTCAAAATGATGTGTTTAGTTATTCAGATAGTAATTATGGACAATGCTGTTGAAATTTTCATGTTTTTTTTTGCTGTGAAGAAAGCCTGCATATTACAATAATGAACAGAGAAATATGCGAGGACACAATCATGGGTTTGTAATAATTCAATTCTTTAAAATAATAACTCACAAAACTGTTACCCAGAAAACAGGATATGCATGTAATTAAAATGAACCAAATTTCTCTCCATTTGTCATCCAGCCTATGAAATACATCTTAAGCCCTCTGTTGGACATTTTATTTGCTCAAACATTTGACCACAATTAAAACTGCCCCTAATAACAAAACCATCAATGGTGAAAATTTAAATCCCCAGTCTATTGCTTTAAACTTTAACAACCCATCTCTGTAATTACCACAACAGGAGTTCAAAGTCAAAATGATAACTCATAAAATGGGGAGCAAATTAGTTTCCTGGAGCCTACAGAGTTTATACAAGAGGAAACATGTTAAATGTTACAGATCTGACTTCCTGATCTCTGCATGTAGCATCATTAAACATTATAGTGTAACATTGCCAATAGGGAGCATACATGATTACAAGGCCCTGACTTTAATTAACCAAAACTTGCAATGCCGTTAAGTTTGTAAATGAATTTTGTTTGAAGCTCTTGATCAACTTGGAGCTGTTGAATGAAAAGTTTGAATTTTGAGGTTTTGGTGACACAACTTTTGGCTAAGACTATACATATGTATAGGCTAGGTTACTATGATGTAACATCATGATCATGTCCAGAATTTAACTTATTTATATAAATTTATAGCCGTTCTGATGATGATCAGATCCATTATATAGTAATTATATTGGTTGTTAATTATATTAAATTATGTTACAATATTACCCAAAACTTCTTTTACATATAAAAAATCCTCAATCAGATTGGAGAATAAAACATACAGAAACAAAGATCACAGGAACTATGTATTGCTAATTGCAGTTGATAACTCCTACAAATAAAGTTTAAAACTGGTAACATTAACATAAATGTGCAAATTCACTAAAATTAATCAAAAGCAGGATAATAAATATGCTCATTACATAACTTTCAGCAACTATTGAGGGTAATAACTTATTCTTAATATTTTTCAGGGTCATGTTAACATTTCTTGATTAATTAAGCTAGACATACACTGTTCTCAACTGTCAAGTACAATAACAACGCTTACACAGAAAAATAGCTTAAATTTATTTCTAAAATCTTATCACAAACATTTATCTGTTCCACAATACAGCTAGACATGAGATAATGACTGAGATCCTTTTGTTAGCATTGTATACATGCATTTTTAAACACACACACATTTTTAAAACAAATGCCAACTGCAGACAATATGTTTCACTCTATATTACTGTGAATTCACTTAAGTTCATGGGCAACAAATTCCGTGGTTTTTGTTATGAAAAACCCTTTTTCGTGGGTTTTTAAATTCATGGACTGTCTATTTTTCCAAACGGTAATAATGTTAGTAATGTGATGCAAAATAATCTTACAGCAGACAAAATGAAATTTCATTGCATTTTAAATTCATTATGAACACTATGAAAATTAGTGAGTGCTCGATGAATAATGATATTGCAGTACAACACAAAAATAAGATCTGAACACAATATAATGAAAGTGTGTATTCTGACCAAAGGAGGGTTACTAGTGCATTCTGAACAAGCAATTTTACATATTTGAAAAAAAAGCAACTCAGGAATGTGGAAAATACATTTCAAAGCTTTGAACTGTTAACATACTTAACCTATCATTAGCAACATCAAAATACTTTCAAAATTTAACAGAAATTTAAATAGTTTCAATTTTGCATAAATTATTTAAGTGTTATACAAAATGAGTCATATGCACATCAGGTATGTAAATTATTCTTTTCTAACTTATGTATCAATATTGCATGTTCATAAATTTTCTATTGAATACAGGGTTTGCGTAAATATTTTCATTGAATGCTTAACTTATAGTCCTCAACTTTTAAGTGATGAAAAATTCACATTAACTCAAACTGTTGATTACAAATTTGATGTAAACAGATTTCCATTCCCTCCCTCCAGGTAAAAAACGCTTGAAATGCCATAAATCATAAGACCCCTTGAAAATGTAAGGGAGAACCTGCCTGATATTGAAAAAGCTTAATTAAATGTAAAATTTTATTGCCTTGGTTCTAAAGCATGTATCTATTGAAGCCATGATCTTGAAAGTTCTAATTATATCAATAGCTTTTGAGTTTTCTTTCTGAAAATTTTAAGGTAGAAAAACAAAAATATGACATCAATTGAAACAAATATATATAAACATATTACATTTTTGTACATGTCAATGGAGCAAACAGTTAACATAAAATTGCAGTATTATTTCTGAGAAACCAAGTCAGGCTTATTTCTAGATCTTCCTCAAGTACTTTTTAAGTACCATTTAAATTTTTTCACATATTATGTTAATCCAAATGTCTAACAGTTACAATAATAGGCATATTTTAGCAAGCATTAATAGAATGCTACATGTATATACCTAAGGTCTCATCATGGCAGTGATGGCACGAAGGTATCTACTTTGTTTGCTATACATGCACTTAATATAATATATATGACAGTCAGCCAAGTCCCATGCTTAAAGGAAGAAATATACAGAATACTTTTGCCTATCCTAACTATTGTTTCAGTAATTAGCTTAATTCAATTAGTGGAAAATACTTAGCACATTACATTTTAGTATACCACTACTTTGTATGTACAGCAATTTCTGACAAAAAATCAAGACTGGCAAAACACAACCACATTTTACTACATTGCAAATTAGTGCAGTGACATAAACATATAAAATAATTGTCTCATTTCCCCCCAATTATTCTTAACATTAAAGATGCATGCCTCCAGATAAGACCCCAGTAACAAATGAAATTCCAGGGTTTGCATCATCATTATTGGATCCAATCTCATCAATTTAGTCTCCATTTCATTTTCTGAGTCCAAACAAATCAATATCAAATCCATATTGCACTCTGTCTAACCTTGTTTTTATTCTTTTATACTCAAAGTTAAACAAAGTTCTGTTCAAAATGTACACAAGAGGGCCATGATGACCCTGAGGTCGCTCACCTGTATATAGGCCCCCCCCCCCCCCCCCCCCCCCAACGTTGCAGGGCCAATTTAACCCAAGGGCTTTTATTTGCACAAACTTGGTAGACACCCATAAGAAGATGTTTCATGCTAAACATCTAAGCTCTAGCTCATTGGGCTTTTTAAAAGAAGATTTTTTTTAAGTTTTTACTATACACATATAGTTAAAAACAATGACACCCCTGGGGCCGGGCCAGTTTTGACCCCAGGACTTTTTATTTGAACAAACTTTGTAGACACTTACTAGAAGATGTTTTCATGCTTAATATCTAAACTCTAGCTATTTGGGTTTTTTCAAAGAAGATTTTAAGATTTTGCTATACACATATAAAGAAAATCAATGACCCCCGGGGCGGGGCCAATTTTGACCCCAGGTCTTTTATTTGAACAAACTTTGTAGACACTCACTAAAAGATGTTTCATGCTTAATATCTTAACTCTAGCTATTTGGGTTTTCTCAAAGAAGATTTTTTAAGTTTTTGCTATACACATATAAGGAAAATCAATGACCCCCGGGGCGGTGCCAATTTTGACCCCAGGGCTTTTATTTGAACAAACTTGGTAGACACCTATTAGAACATGTTTGATGCTAAATATCTTAGCCATAGCTCTTTGAGTTCTTTAAAAGAAGATTTTTAAGTTTTTACTATATGCATATAGGGAAAATCAATGACCCCCCGGGGCGGGGCCAATTTTGACCCCAGGGCTTTTATTTGAACAAACTTGATAGACACCCATTAGAACATGTTTCATGCTAAATATCTTAGCTCTAACTCTTTTGGTTCTTTAAAAGAAGATTTTTTAAGTTTTTACTATATGCATATAGGGAAAATCAATGACCCCCCGGGGCGGTGCCAATTTTGACCCCAGGGCTTTTATTTGAACAAACTTGGTAGACACCCATTAGAACATGTTTGATGCTCAATATCTTAGCCATAGCTCTTTGAGTTCTTTAAAAGAAGATTTTTTAAGTTTTTACTATATATGCATATAGGGAAAATCAATGACCCCCTGGGGCGGGGCCAATTTTGACCCCAGGGCTTTTATTTGATCATACTTGGTAGACACCCATTAGAACATGTTTCATGCTAAATATCTTAGCTCTAGCTCTTTGGGTTCTTTAAAAGAAGATTTTTTAAGTTTTTACTATATGCATATTGGGAAAATCAATGACCCCCCAGGGCGGGGCCAATTTTGACCCCAGGGCTTTTATTTGAACAAACTTGGTAGACACTCACTAGAAGATGTTTCATGCCAAATATCTAAGCTCTAGTCTTATGGTTTTTTAAAAGAAGATATTTAAAGTTTTTTCTTTCGGTTGCCATGGCAACCAGAGTTCTGCATGGAATTAAATTCTTTGAACAATGTTTAAAGGTGACCACCAAAGGAACATTCCTGTGAAGTTTGGATGAAATTGGCTTAGTGGTTTATGAGGAGATGTCATTTAAAGTAAAAGTTTACGGACGGACGCCGGACGGACGGACGCCGGACGAAAAGCGATCACAAAAGCTCACCCTGTCACTTTGTGACAGGTGAGCTAAAAAGAATTGGTGGTATACCGTAATTGATGAGTACAATACTGATTCTACTTGACTTGTAACCAGCTCCAAGACCCCTGTACTAGACTTGGCTTGCACCTCGTCCAATATGGGTTAAACAAATGTGTACTAGTGCATTAGAATTATTAGAATTGTTCTCAATCAATAAGGATGATTACGTGTATCACTGAAGTTCAAACCATAAAATTCTAGTTTATTTATTATGAATAATAAATGACATTATTGCAATGAAATCCTTTTTGCATTTAAAAAATGACTTTTCATAAAAAAATTAGGGCAGACAAATTAACACGACTTAAATTTTTTATAGAAGCACATAATTATATTACATATTTTCAAATTTGATGAATTTAAAGTAAAATATCCTTACCATCTTTTGTGAAGACTCTATGTCCAGTTGTATAATTCATCACCAGTGTGATTAACAAAGGTATAAATCCATAAATCTCCATTCTTCTGTTTTGTTAAATTATTGTATATAACTATATAATCTTACTCTTTCACCAATAAAAATCTAATCAACTCAAAGTAATCCTGTATATTGCCAGTTTGTTGAAGTTCTTCTCTTTTTTTTTCTTTTTCAAAACGACACTTCCTGTTCTTACATCAATGCAGTGATTTTTATATTTTTTTATCTTATTTTTACAACAGTACAAATCTTGAATTCTTCAACAAGGATACAGCCAGTAGATTTTGTAATTCCTGTAATTCCAGGGAAATAAAAATCTACTTATATGTTTACAGGTTTAAAGCCTATGTCTATGTTTCAATTCAACAGAACACTTGCTTGCTAATGGAGACATGTCAGCTTTGTTAGATCTTCAAAAATTGCCACTGTTTTATCTTGTAACCTTTCATTAAATTTGTTCAAAAACTGATTCTTTTATCAGCTGCTCTGTCTTAATTTCCCTCCCAGATTTTGCTGTACGCCCTTGCTTTAAACCTTCCTCGATCTTGTACTACTTCAGATTACCACACTCTGAAACTTTGTTTGACACTGCTTGTAAACGGTCCTGATTTTTTTGAATGTATAGATCCTTGTTAGAAGAAATAACACGCCCCTGTTGACAGGTCGCCTACTTGTGCCAATGTTCCATCATGAAAGAGGCAAAGGTTCCAACACTTTATTTCTCTTCTGTCTGCAAGACAAAAAAAAAAGTTTGATAAAATACTTTATATTTACTTAAATATTTGCTATAATCCTATAAACTTCCTGATTATATTTTTGCGACATAATAACTTAAAATTTAAACACACGTGTTGTACATGTATAAGTTATATTACATGCCGTGTTCTTTATCAGTTTACTGAATATAACTATGGTATTGAATTTATAAAATTATGCAACATGCATACACTAAAACATACTTTAAACTTTCATCAAGTGAGACGATATACAGGAAGTACAGTAAATACTGAAAGATCACTACATTATCATGGACTTGCCCACCCCTGGGCACCCCCATTAAACATGAAACTGTCCATCGTAATTATAAACTTAGGGATTTTCATATTAAACATAGAGCTTGCTATACACTGGCTGCGCAACCGAAAGTGGTTTAAGCCTTTTCAATCAATAGAAAGCCCTGTCAGCATATACATTCATGCAGTCTGACCAGGCTCTAATCTGTTGACCGCCAAACTTCAAATTTTCACCCAAAATTGAAAATGGACAGTTCTAAAAATGGATGTAAAACTGATTGTAATAATGTTATGCTGAGGCCCACATGGAAGATCGGGATCTGAATGTGTAAGCCTCGTTAAATAAAGTCGTTACTTACTAATACTACTTACTTACTCAGCAAGACAGCATATATAGGCAAATTATTTTACAGCATAAAAACTTATATATGAAACCAAGTAAATTTCCTGCATGCTACGTACATAATTCATTGTTTCTATAATAGCCTCTGTAGTACAATATAAACTAATCAATACCAGGAAATTTTATCACTAACAAACAAAACAAATAACAATAACATATCAACCACAAAGGGAGTGGAAATTTTCCTAGTCATGCAATTTAAGAGCCCCTGCCCTCTGAACTCACAAGCCCCACTTCACTATATACTTAAAGCATGTTGAGTTGGCACATGTAAGAATGTAGTGACATGCCAAAGCTAGATTCTGGGATATTTTTGTTCAAGGTCAGATTTCGCTTTTACAGTAAAGGCGTGATGAGATATTACCCCGACACAAAATAGCAGAATATGTCATCGCGTTGCACTTTAATTTAAGTTGGACGAATAAGAATGTTACGGTAGCTCCTTGTTCAGTCCTTAAAAAATCATATTTCATCATGTCCAGTAAGCTATATTGTTCTTATCGAGTCATTATGTTAACGATTCACAACAATTCAAAATAGCAATCAGATAAATAAATATCCACAAGGAAATTTATATAAATAATGTGTCTCTCAAACTCCTGACCAGCTTCCTTGTTTAATAACAATTTACACATAATTATTAGTGTCATCTTTATCAACAAATTCAATGTCTTACCATTTCATGAAATATTTCAACAATCCTATAATTATTGAATAATGAACAAGAACTTCTCCTAAACTACTATCGAATTTCTATGTGTTGCTAAGAGACAGTCTTAAACCTTGACTTTTAATTCTTATTGAACAAATATGATAACCTTAATATTGCAGATGTACAAAAGTAAAGCGAGCATTTCAAACATTCAGTATAAAGTATAAAAACACTCAAGGGACAAAAAAAATCTCATTCATTAAATAAGAAACGCCCTGTAGCTTACCTTAATTAAAATTCATTTTTAAACTCTCCCACAGTAACACTATATAGAATTTACCTTAATGTAAGATCTTAGTAATTACACTTTAACCCCAATCACTCAAAACAAAAACATCTGACAGACACTTGAAATAGCCATTAAAATGTCTGAATGATTTAATCCAAACTTTTGAAGAAAATTGAAAATTAAGTTTTTGAAATAAATCTACCAATTAGAACTACAACAACTCAAGTTACCAATTCAAATGCAGTGAAACACACTTCATGTGAACTTTTAGTGTTGTCTGACCTATTGAAGATAAATTGGACATTTGGTGAACCACTGTGACCTGTGAAATGTTAATGTTGAATGTTACACCTAAAGTGTCATAAAACGAATGGATAATAACACTTTATACAGCACAATGTTGTGGTCAACTGACATAATGTATGGTTATAGTCAACAATAATTCTCTAATACATTTACCTTTGATGAAACCTTCTTTATTGTAATACAAGCAAAACAAGGGTAAAGTTAAAGTTACAATTTGACACATAACAAGCAATTGTTAGAAGTATATTTTCTTCAGTTTTTTTCTAATCCTTAGAGCAATTTCTTCAAATAGAACTTTAATATGTTAGAAAAGTATTACCTTAGTAATGGTTGTACCTCTAATTAAAAAAGCTTTTGATGTTTTGGCCCTTCCCACTGATTTCTTATTGTATTAATTTACTGTCCTAACACTCCCCAGGTGAAATGTGTACCATGGTCAACATAGTATTTCATGGTTTTTGATATCTGAACATGTTATTTCTTGGTCGTCAGTGAAAAACCATCAAATGCCATGGTCACATAATGGTATGACCATGTAATAACATGGTCATTCTGCATATCAGTAAGCTATCATGAAAAACCATGGTCTACCATGTAACAAAATTACAGACCATGGTAAAATGACCATGAATAACCATGGTGTACTATCAACATAATTTTTATGCCAATAAATACCTATATAAATTAAATAAAAAAATATGAAACACTTGTTTTTCTTCCCAAAAGGGATATGAAAGTTACATAAATAATGTTAAAAGAAAAAAAAAGAAAAAAAATGTTGACCCTTCTGGGGTTTGAACCCATGGCCCTTAAAGTTTCATTGTATCTAACAGTAGTTTTAGCCTTATAATTTGAACACTCTTCAAAGCGGAGGTAAACCTTACCACAATGCATTGCAGTCCAACATGGCATCCAAATCCATGTGTGATTGTCAACAGCATAATATATATGTTTTACAGTGTTTAAACAATGGAATTAATTACTCAGACTTTGCTAACATGTTTCCCAACACCCAGTTTTAATATTTCACAAATGGATTTAACAAACATTATGGAATAAACACTGATAAAGATGTAAACACAAGGAAAATATACATGTGGGAAAAGGCGGGAACATTTTAAAAAGATAAATGGCAAGCACTGTTTGTTTTATATGCAGGCTGGCTGGTCTACAAATAAAAGTGATCACAAAGGAAACAAATTCAGTCAAAATATACATAGTTTTATGTACTATACTATTATTATGTTAGTCTACATCATAAGTAATTTACGAAAGTCGTCTTACACAGGGGTCGTGTAACATAACATGGTCAACCATGGCTAACCATGATCTGCATGTGAGCCATGTTAGATCATGTTATTTCATGATAAAACATGATACATTTCACCAGTTGGAAAAAATTAACATGGTAGAACATGGTGTCAGTAGACATGATCTACCATGTTATTTAATGGTAGACCATGGTGTTAGCAACCATGGTTAGGTGACCATGAAAAGCTGTGGTGCCATTTAACAAAACATGGTCTACTATGGTAGTTTATGGTTACAGGACCATGAAATACCATTGTAGTTCATGGTAGTTCATGGTTAAATGACCATGAATTTCGCCGGGGGCCATTATGCCCTAGGGATTCAATGTTGAATAAAACAGATTAATAACAGTTTGGGGTAAATTCTGAAGAAAAAAAACCCCACAGACTAACAATCCATCTATAGGACATGAATGCCCCTTTCATTCCACTGTTTTGTCATTGAACATACAGACTGCAAAAAAGACAGAGAAAGGCAAATATATTGCTCCAACCTCCAACAATTAAAGAAGTGGGGGCATAAAAATAGATCTATAAACTGCACAATTGAACATGGATGCAACTTTCAATGTGACCGAGTTGATAAACGGAAATTAAGCCAATTAACAATTAATTAATAACTTCAAACTGCCTTTCCTCTCACTTACAGGGATGTCTTCCTTGTTAAAGTGTGTAACATAGATATCAAGGTCACATGACTGATTCATATAATTATATTTCCTTAAACATTATTTTTATAACATCTGTGCAACTTAGATTTGAAAACCTGTGAATAAACAGGGTGTTGTCATACTTTTTTTACAACAAACTTCCGTAAAAAAAGCATAAATCGTGAATCAGACGTGACAAATAAAATACTAAACCAAATATGACTACTACTTTAACATTAATTCACACACCCTTTACATGATCTGCATATAAATAAATATTCACAAAAAAACATGCCAGTGATATTTCAAATATAAATATTACATACAGAGACATCTGTAACATTTTTAGCTATGAAATTTAATTTGTACAATAAGTTGAAAATATTATATAATACAACACCATATACTTAAATATCACATCCATATCTATGACATATCATATAATTCAAATACAATGCAGTCTGAGGTCAAGTCAAGTATGTATTTGCTAGTTTTATTTGATATTGTAGTTAGTCTGAGGCGAGTCTGTATTTGTTTGTTTTATGGATATGACACAACATGTGTTTAAGTCATGCTGCAATGTTGAACATAAAAAAAATCAACTGATCAATAACATTATGCAGTCACTATACATGTATAATAGCAAGTGAGATCAAATGCAGCGTGTAAAGGACACTGCATGCCGTTAACACGAATTAATATAACCAGGAAGTTTAATGTAAGACAACAAGGTTTCACATTGTATTCCTTACATACTGGTATTTACATTAATTTTGTTCTGAGTCATCATCATCATCATCATCATTGTAATTATCGTCATGAGTATCATCAGTCAGTGTTTGCTCTAATTTTTTGGCCTCCTCCATCAAATGATCATTAACTTTGAAACTGGAATAAGTCAGCGATAATTTAATGTTATGGTATTTAAAATACTTCAGCACAGCCCCAAATGCTAGGGCAATAGACAGGGATATCAAATCTTGAACTTCATGCAGTAAAGACCCCCCCCTCCCTATGAGTTGTACAATCACATATATCTGGAGCTGAGTGATTTTAAATACCTTAAGTGAATAAGTCTGGTCAAACTAACATCATGGATGTGCAAAA